ATAGTCACACCATACCTGAGAGCATCATCCAGACACTTCTTGAGGTCTGCCAGGCTTGGTGCTGTGACCACTTCCCTGGGGAGCCTGTTCCAGTGCCCAACCACCCTCTGGGGGAAGAATCTTTTTCTGATATCCAACCTAAACCTCCCCTGACACAACTTCAGGCCATTCCCTCGAGTCCTGTCACTGTGCTCCCAGCAGTTATGTGAAGCTAACATGTTTCTGATTTACAGCGACCCTGGGATCATAACATCCCAAACAAGGAGTTGTTCTGGTGCTGGGACATACTTTCCATTCTTGCCTGTGTTGAAAAGACCAAAGCATCTTCTTTTGAATCAGAAGAACTGCCTTCCATGATGAGTGTCTAATGACAGGGACAGGACTCTACCATCTTGGAGTACATGTCACTGCTAAATTACACTTCCACCACAGCAGTTTGCTTTCTTCTTTGTTAGACTTTTCTGTATGACTTGAAAGAAAATAATCACAGGGTTTCTGTCACGTTGGTTTTTGGCAGCGGATGCCTTGAAAGAACTGAAAAGTCCACATTCTGTCTTTCTCCTTGATTGCTTCTTCAGTTTGCCTTTGGAGTGTCACGTGTGGTACCACATTTCTCCTCCTGAGAAGTGTTTGGTTCTATTTTCTTGGCTGTGCAGCTTGTTTTGGTTTCATAAGTTGCTATTTACTCTTTAGAATTACTTTTAATATTCAACTTTCTTTTAAATATATTTTGTTGTGATATCATTTTCTCCCTTGGTGATAAAGAGGCATTAAAGCATTTCTGTGATCCTTCACTATGAATCTTACCATGTTTCTATGGTTATGCCCCAGACTTCTCTTATTTCGGAGAGAACTTGACCATTTGCAGGGAGAAAGGTTAATAAAAGTTAAATTGAAAAAAAACACCCCCCAAAAAAGATCCCAAGCCCAAAATAGCAGCCTATTCTTATTTAATTCTTCTTGTTAAGCTTAAAAATACTGTAGGCCGTTATGTTTATTTGACAGCTGCAGCTTTATTACAGATGCTTTATTATGGAATTGTCCTTGTTCTGTTAATTCCTAGGGGCTGAAGAGGCTCATGACCATTTGCCAGAAGCACTTCCCAACAGACCCATCCAAGTGTGTGGAGTACAACGCTTTGTGAGGCTTTGCAGGGGCCAAGGCATGACTCATATTTTGGTCTCCAAGACCCAGAGAGGATGGAAGAGGCAGAGTCTGTGCTTGGACACCAAGAGGAACTTTGTGAAAAAGCAGAAAGCGGGAGATTTTCTACAGCTTCCTTTTTACAAGCCCCATTTATTTAGGTTTATTTTTAAATCTATGCTTTATGCTGAACACAACCAATACACAGCAAAGGGGGTGGGTTTTGAAGAGGTTAAGAGCAGGACAGTGACCAGGGGACAGTGGACAAGAGCCTTGCTTTTATTTCAGTTTGTTATTCAGACTGAACTGTTTCCCATATTTTAGAGCTTTAGTTGAGACACAACCCTGCAAGGAGCATATGTGGAGCTTTTTTTTTTTGGCTGCTTTTGCATTGGAGACTGATGTGGGGAGATGATTAGAGGGAAGCAGTTGAATCTGAAGCTTGGTTATTTCTGTAAATATAAAGACTTTATTGGCTAATCTTTCATGTGGTATTTATCAGGAATTAAAAAAAAAGGTTTGTATATTTCTCAGCCTCAGTGCAAAGAGTTTTTGATCTTGAATGCATCTGATTTGGCTTTTTTTTTTTTTTTTTTGGTAATGACATTTTTAATATGAACCTTCTGGGCTTGAGGAACGTAATCTTATGGCTCTTGGGGCTTTCAAATCCCATTTTTATACATCTGGAGAAAATTTCAGTCTGCAGGGCATTGCAGAGAAAATAATTAGGACCTCCCATGACCATGAACAGTATTTCTAGCAGCCACAAATCTTTACCATTGTGCATCTTGACTGGGAATGGTGAAGAAACTCACGGGAATGATGGTCCAATTCTGCGTAAGTAGTGAAACATTGAAAACATTGTTAGCTTTTAGCAAAACCACTTCCTGAAGAAATGTGTCAACATTCCAGTGTATGGGTTTGTCTGGGTCCTCACCTTGAGTGGCAGTGTGGAGCAGGAGCTGGTGCCCTCTTCTCAAGGAATTACCCCCTCTTCTGTGGGTGTTTCCAGTATCCCAGTGAGATGTGGCACTGGGGGATTTGTGCAGGTAGCGAGTTTGGAGGAGTGTCCTTAGGAACTTCAGGTTCTTCTGGAGACTCTTAGGTTCTGAAGTGCCTCTCTGGACACAGGAGATTTTCAGCCTGGAGTGTTTGACCCCAGAGAAAATGTCAAGAGCTTAAACAGTTTAGAAGTAATAAAAGTGAGGCTGCTAAAACCTCACCAGTGCTCGGGGAGGGGCCTTTGGGGTATAGGTGGGGGCTTGTGGGGGAAGCTGGGCAGATGTCAAGAGCATGGAAGGGTTTCATTAACAGTGGTGTCTGGTGATTTTTTTTTTTTTTTTTGCAGTTCTCTGCACAGATATTCTTTGGAGGCTTTATTACAACGGGAAACGTGTAATGTCGCAACCTTATCCCTCTCCCCACCCAGACGGTTTCCTGAGCTGTTTCTAAATCTTCATCTTGACCTTAGTTTTGAACTCTGTAAATAATTGAGGGACAATATTGTCCCTTGTTCAGAAGAGCTGTAATTTCCCTGGAAACTGCAGCGAATGAGTAGCCAGGGGATGGTTTAAGGAGCATTCTGTCGTCTGCTTTAGGGGGAAGTGGATTCCTTGGGGCATCTGTAATAGTACTACATAGATTTTTTTCCCCCTCCTTTTTTAGAGCCAATTATTGAGCAGAGTTTTAATGGTACCCTGAGTGCCGGTTAGAGTGTGGATGCGCCTCCTGGAGGGATGTCAGTTTGGGGTTGGAATGTTTCAGTCTGATCAGGGTTTAAAGAATGTAATTCAAGCAATGTGCCTCCTTGCTGGCTGACAGTCCCTGAAATACAGCCGCCTCGCTCGAATGAATCCCATGACGGAAGAACTTTATCCCCCTGCAATTCGTGGAATGGTGCTGCACGGGGAGCTGAGGAACTGAGGAGTACTTTCTCACGGCAGATCCGTGTAAGAGTTTCCAGCTGTCCGGCACGTGAGAGCCAGCCCTGGTCCTGTGGGATTGTGAGCTGGGGGGACACTGTTACAGCAGCTGCATTTCATCACCGGTTGGAGGCTCTTTGCAGCCGGATGGCCCCAAATGGCAGCTACCAGACCGTGATCAAATAGTTAATAATGCCTCTCAGCCAAAATAATCCCAAACCCACCCAAGTCTGGTTTAGGGACGAGTGGGTGTGGTGCAGCTGTCACATTGCTCATCGGTTTTTGTGGGGAGGGTATGTTTCAGTTTAGCAATTCGAACTTTTCCCTATGGGCTTCTCCAGATGTTTATTTCTGATAATTCCTGCATTAGGCGGAAATAATTCGGCTGAATCTGAAGACTTGTAGCCTTGGGATGAATTCATGCATTTGCCATAGCAGTGTCTGAAGTGGTTTTGGGACTTCAGTGGCCCCAGTCATTTGTTGCAGCCCCCGACCCCAACCCTGGTGGTGGAAGGGGCTGTGTGAGGTGAACTCTCAAGGTATGTGGTTTGAGATAATACCTGATAATGGTATTATTGTGCCTGATGCTACTTAAATGTCTTTGACTCCCTATTTGCTGTTTGTCTGTTAGTGCTGGAAGGGCTCTTCGGGCAGGCATATGTGGGATCAGTTTATTTTGATGGAGGAACTGGGTTTTGCTCCTGCTGGCTGCCATAGAATCACTACCATAAATCCAGTCTTGCCCAAAGAATAAACCTGGTTGGGATGTAAAAGGCTTTACTTCTCAGGGGGGAAGGGACTGCTCCAACTTCTGGACCCAGGGGATGAGGACACAAGGTAGTGCCTTCCAAGAGGGCTGGCACAAGAGTGGCAGTGCTGGTGTCAGATCTGGAACAGGCTGTCCCAAAAGCTGCTCCTGAGGCGATGTGGAGCTGGAGGAGGTGCCTGCAGCACTATGGAGCCACTGGCGATAAATCTGAGTTAAGGTCCTAGAGTTCCAGGGGTGTTTGAAACCTTGATCATGGCTGCTTTGTCCATCCCAAACCCTTCTGGGGATTTGCTGCCTGTGAAGGTCCCTCATGCAGCAATGCCAGGTGATGGCTGGAGGGGCTGCCTGGCTCTGGGCTGATGCCACTGGTGGCTCCCTGTGGGGTGTGTGGGGGATCAGGTGGGAAGAGGCTCCGTGGACAGTGGGAATAAAAGGAAAGAGCAGGAAGCAACTGTGCTGGGAAGTGTGGATGGGTCCCATGTGAGTGTGTGGCTGTCTGCAGTTTGGGACGGGGGTGGGTGGCTGCAGGGGTCACTGCTGCCCACAGAGGGGAAAACTGGTATTAAGTGACATCCCTAACCCTGTGCAGGGGTCACTGCTGCCGGCAAAGCCCCACCCTGAGCTAGAGCAGCCTCTGCTGGGGGGGGTGGTCCCTAAGGAATTCAAGGAGCAGGCAGTTCCTTGGAGCACTGGGGAACGTGCTGGTGCTCAAGCCAGTCCCACAGCTGTTGGCATTGCTGCAAATGGCCTTGCAGCAATTTGGCATTCAATTCATACAAGTGAGTGTTAATTTTAGTAATCTCAAGTTATGTGTGTTGGAAGTAAGGATTATATCCATGACTGTTTCCCGTGGTGGTGGAAAGTCCATCACACCGTTTCTTCTCCCGAGCTCCCGCGACCTGTGCTCGGGAGAACACACAGCAGAGCAAGCACGGATCTGCTGAGCACAAGCACTGAATCCCAAAGGATCTCTAAAGGACAGGATTTTCTGGGGGGGATGCCCAATGTTTCCTGCAGTCAGGCCCCCTGACAGCCAAGGAGCCTCATGGACACCCTGGGCAGCTGTGTACACATCTGGAGCCAGCATCTCACAGTGGTGGCAGTGCAGTTAAGAGCAGGTAAGAGCTGCCCGTGTGCTGTGCCCTCCCGAAGAGACCACGGCAAGGTTTCATTTTGAAAATGCTTTAATAAGGAAGTGTTGACAACACCGTTTTGCAAAATGTAAAGGTAACTATACAAATTCTTAATACAAAAAGAATAAATTAAAAGCAGATCTTTTTTAATTCTGCGACTTTTTCTACAACATACATATTTTTTTTTCCTTGATTACAGTTGAACAGAATCCAGTAAAATCATTTTCCATGCTCTAAAGTTCAATTTCGGGAGAGACCTAATTTTTTTTTTCTTCTTTTTTTTTTTTTCCTTTTTTTTTTAAACTAGAGAGTCCATTTTACACAACCTGTAATAAAACTATTGACATTAATATATATGTAAAACTTTACATCTAGTTAACTAAGCAGTAACTGGTCATCTGATAGCACCTGAATGGGGATTGGCTATGCCTGAAACTAAAACTAATACAGAGTGAAAACAAATTGGACTGTTTCAACATTTTCAACACTCGACTGCATATAATACCATTTAAAAATAAACCCTGCCTCCAGCACAGCCCAGTGCATGGACTGTCCACTGGCTCCTGCCCACACAGAGGGAGCGTCAGACAACGGAGACGAAGAACGCGGTTGTGGCTTTATGGCAGATGGAGCCTTGAAAAATAAAAAAAGTAAAGGAGGGGTTAAGTTGGTAGTCAAGTGCTTGTCTATAATAGCTATGTATATACCCCTCCGTGTTATACTTAAATATGTTAATCTCATATGATTAACATTTTATGTACATTTGTGTTTAATTGAATTGAGCTAAACAGTAAAACCTGTTTTACTTAATCTGTCTTTACTACCAGACTGGCTGCTCACGTGTGCCTTGATTGCAAACCAGAAAAGCAGAACACAAAGCAAAACTCAATCCGTTTCTAGAAAGCTTTTTCTCCACTCCAGCCTGTTTGCAATTCAGGCTAAACATTTTTTTTTTCCTCCCCCCCCCCAATTTCAGGGCTGCCACCTTTTAACCTTTGCTGCAAAACTGCAGAGCTGGTCTTGGAGGAATTAATGTTTCTTCCTGTAGTGCCCAGAGGCCTCATAGTGCCGCTGTTGTTGAATTCTTTTTAATTAAAAGAAGGTACACATTAAAAAAAAACCAACCCAAACCACTTACCAGGGAAATTAAAAAAAAAACAGACAGTTGCTCAGAGCCCCTAAAAATCCTTGGGCTAAATTACTTGCTGCTGCTTAATTTGGTCCTTATTTAATCCTTTCACTTTAGCTTCCAAATCTTATCAGCAAATGTCATTAATCAGTACTATCTCTTATCCAGCTAAAAATCCAATTAGGAGCTTGAAATAATTCCCATGTTAAAGACCCCAGAGCACAAAGAGATGGTGAAAACAGCATTTTGCATGTGCAGATAAAGGGTGCAATCTCATCCCTGGCTGTTGTTCCAGAATTGGACACAAGGCTTCAATTACTGTCACAGGATGTCACACTCCCAGGGTGATGCCTCAAGGAGGCCCAGAAGCACAAGGTTTGTGTGGCCACCTTTGAAAACCCCTGGCCAGTGTTTTTTGGTTTTTTTTTTTCATAGGAGTAATTCATTTATGCTTCATGTATGAACATGAAAGGGTCTCCTTACCATAGAATGGTTTGGGTTGGAAGGGACATTAAAGCTCATCTCGTTCCAACCCCCTGCCATGGGCAGGGACACCTTCCACTAGACCAGGTTGCTCAGAGCCCCATCCAGCTTGGGCTTTTGCCTCATCCAATCCTGACTGCCTTGGATTTCCCTGGACAAATAAACAGCCTTTCTGCCTGTCATCGTCTCATCTCTGCAAGGCCACCCCCCTGCCTTACCAGCCATGCGAGGCAGCACCGCAGGGAACTGAAGCCAACATTTCTGGTGTGAGTTGCAGAAAGGTATTAATATTTAGAAACCCCATTGTTTTTCAAAGCCTAATTATGTAGAACCCTTCTCTTTTAAAGCCTGGAATGCAGTTTTCCAGCAATTTTAATACCAAAAGGTGTGGCAGCCCCCCAAGTCGCTGTGTTTAATTTGAAACGTTTCGCCCTACTTTGTCTGGTAGATGCTGTTGTTATTCTTGGAACACACACACACACACACACTCTCAACACACACATACACACTCACACGTTTGTTTTTTTTTTCCTTTTTCCTTAAACTAAAGCTAACTTCAGTTTCTGCTTTTCACAAAGTAACCCCCTCCAGCCGTTTCTTTTAATGCCTTTCCCATAGGAAATCATCGTTTGCACGCACAAACGGGGGAAGGCCGGGCGCCTCCCCCCATCGAGTGGCAATAAAAACAGCATAGCACCGCAGTGAAGACTAGACGTGCCAGCTTCAACATCCACCTAGATTGTGCACTTGTTCATTACAAAAGTGTCTTTGAGGCCTTTTAAAGTTCCATGGCTTGACATGTATAAAGCATTGCTCAAAAGTATGTGTAAACTTGCGGCTCCTTCCATGACGCGCTCGTGCGATTCCTTTTGGTGTCAGCAGGCAGCTCTCGCTCGTGTCCAACGCCTCCCTCAGTCGCTTCTCTTCCTTGTGGTCTCGCAGTGGGAAGATTTGCCTGTCTGCTGGTTGTCCAACCCCGCTCCGCCGCGGAGCCTTCCTGTTTCCCGACAGACCGGTTCTCCCACACAGCAGCACACGGGTGACGAGCCCTTTGCTACACGGGTGCTAACAAAGGGAAGATGAGTGGAACCGATATGTTGACGCAGCTCTACCGTGTCGATTCGACTGCGATGTGCTTTCCCTTTGACTTCACCTTGACGCTTTGTGCAGAAATCGATTTGAATTTATCGGCTGTATCTGTTTGCAGAAAGGCTTTTTTTTTTTTTTTTTTTTTTTTTGGCAATTTTTATCTTTTATCAAAAAAACCGCCGCAACCCCCAACCTCTCTGTGCGTTGGTGGGCACCCTGTGCCAGCCACAGAGATGCTGTGAGTGCAGTATTGCCTCTGCTTTAGGTGATGCCTTTGTAAACCATGTTTGTCCAGTTTAACAGTAGCTTTTAGACAGCGATGCTGTGATACCAGCCCAGGCCTCTGGTGTGTCTGCAGCGCAGGGGGTTGTTTTACTCGCGTATAGGTGGGCTCCAAGCGAAGAAGGAAATGCCATTTTACAGGAGGTGGCCGCGTCTGCCACCGAGTTAAAAGGAGGGGGATGTTCTTGTAGCTGAAACTTGGGAGCAAACTTGTCCTGCAAGCGGTGGTGTGGTGATTTTTGGCAGTGCTGATCTGATTGTGACACTGACACATCGCTGCAGTGATGGGATGTTGCTGTTTCTTCAGAACAGATGCACTCTCAGGACTATGGTATCCACTTCTCAGCCTCTGTCCCATCCCCACCCCCTTAAAACTAATTCTGTTGGCTTCAGCTCACAGGTCATGGAACTCTTACTGCTGTTACCTGCCGTGGAACACTAAGATTTGATGTAAGCCTTGAAAGGCTTCCATTGTTTCAAAGGAAAACCAATTTTTAAACTGCCAACTGGCTGTTCAGGTGTCTGCTCCTCTCCACCCACTGCGGTGGGGGGGACGGGCACCTGCCTGGCCGTGGGATGTGCTGTGCTCCGTCGCTGCCGCGGTGGATGTCTCAGGGCCAGTGTTCCATAAATGTCGCCTTGAATTGCATCGTGAGAAAAGTGCTTAGAGTTGAAGCTGGTGCTGGGTGACAGTGCATCTGGGTAAGGCAAATGAGAGGCAGTGAGGTGATCTCAGAATGGCATTGATGTGATTAACTTGAGGTCAGGGGTTCACACTAGAGTCCCAGGCTTGGCTTTTTCCTGCCCATACCACTGGACATCTGCTAATTCTGGATAGAGGGGAGAATCCAGGAAACAGCTATCATTGTAGTTCCTGCAGGAGAAATGAAACTTTGTTAGGACAGTGAGACCTCTTGAGAAGTTCAGCCATGAGCATTAAACATTGTATTGTGGGTGGAGAGGAATGCAGGATATTCAGACCCCACTGCACTCTGCAGGTATTCCCAAGCTGATATTTGGGATGGGCTCAGCGTGCAGGACTCTGCTTTGACCCAGTTTGATCTTGCCCAGCGGTCCCGTTTGCCCCAGTAACCCGCTCGTTGTGAGGAGGCAAGAGAAAGCTGAGCTCTGACAGCTTCTCCACAGCCAGGGTGGCCTGACATTTGGATGCAGGAATGGCAACAGGCAGAGCTGCTGTGCTTCCAGCCTGAGGGCTCTGCCTGAGGGCTCTGCCTGAGGGCTCTGCCTTGCTGTCCTGCCCAGTACTAAGCTGGCGTAAGGAGGTTTTTGGTAGGATGCTCCCCAGGGAGCAAGTTCTAAGTGCAGCTCTCTCAGCCATGTACTGTATTATCCAGTGGGAATGTGGGAAGAGGAGGGTGGTTGGTGATGCTTTCCTGCAGCACTTCTGCTCTGGGCAGAGGCTTGTGCATCACCTGGCAATCCCAGAGTTATGTGGCTTTCCAAGGGTGAACCAGGAAGCAACTAATGAGAGCGTGCCAGGTCTGATGTGGAAAGGATTGTGTTCTGTTGTAGACAGCCTAGTCCTCAACTCGAGGCTCCTGACAAGCTACTGCTTCTTCTACTGCCTTTACTGAGCACATGAGACAGTTCACGAGAATTTTCTTTGCTATTTATGTTAAGAGCTCTGATCAGGATCAGCTCCTGGCTTAGGCTGTGGAGCTACTTGCCAGAGGAAAGCACTGAGGTCAAAATCTGGATCTTTTGAAAAGTGACTGCTCCATCTGCACAGCAATAGCCAGAATTGATGTCTCTCCCTCACACTTCGATTTGAACTGACTTCTAAGCTAGAGATTGTTTTGAGGCCAAAAGTGGGAGATGTGTTTTCTTTTTGTGTACTCTGGGATTCTCACTCCTTCCTCTGCTCCCTCCCCACCTCACAGGACTGTTCTCATCTGATTCAGTTCCTGCTTCCTCTGCCCTCTTTTCCACCTGGTTTCCCTGGAATTGGTCTGAGGGGAACCTGAGCAAGGGCATCACCATTTGCATATTAAAAAGCCTTTTGTTTCCCAGCACTGTGCTGGAGTGTGGAGGTTTATATCTCTAGAAAGTTGGGCTTGAAATACTTGACAGATGTCAGCTGTGAATGGTTGTAGATTCAAATGAGAGTGTCAGACAGAGATGGCAGTTTAATTAAAATAGAAATACTCTGAGGGTTTTTTTGTTCCCTCCACCGTTCCCCCCTCCTGTCTTCCCACAGGAACGGGGCCAGGGTTGCTCCTTGTTCCAGGAAACCTCGCTGCTTAGAGCCTCAGTTTCCCAGTTCTGCAGTAAGGAGGGAGGAGGGAGGAAGGGGCGCTGGGAGCTCAGGCCAGGTCCTCCGAGGCTCCCACCTACCCCAGCTCGTCTCCCTGCCACACTGCTCCCAGACTGTCCCCACAGCACTTTGCCCACCCTGCTCTGAATTGTCCCCAGCCACAGATTTGTCACCCCCCACTGCTCTCTGTGCAGCCCCTGCAGGAGCACAGAGCAGGCTGGCCCCAAGTCCCTTTCACAGGGGAAAGTGCCACAGCAGCAGAATTGCTGAAAAGGCACAGAGAGCGGCTTCGAGATGCTTCCAAGTTGTTCTTCCAAGAGCTGAAGGAAGACTTGTTGGCAAACAAATGGGCACAGAATTAAAGGGCTGCTCTGGTGGGACAGTGGGACACCGGTTATTCCCACTGTGCTCACAGACTGTTAAGGCAGAAGGGGGAAAGAACAAAACGTTCCCTTACTATACCTCTATTCATCAGTACTTTGGTGGGTTGGAGACTGAGACTCATCCATAGTGGGTGAGTTGTCTGTTGCTTCTCTGAGCAAAGGAGAGCAAAAAAAGGAGGAAAGAGGAGAGAGGAAATGTTAAAGAAAAGAAATGACACAGACATTGTTAAGAGCTTATTAATCTAGTGGGGAAACAAGTTGATGACTCATCTTTAGAAATAGTTAGTGACACAAAAACATGTTGAGGATAACTGTCAATCTGCTGAGTTGTGCTAGGTGGGCACAGCTGACCCTGCAGTGGGGGAGTCTGTGCTGTACATCTAATGGCAGACTGTGCCTGCTTCTCTGTAGTTATACACATGCCATGCGTGCTATGCTCAGCCATGAAATAAGTGCTGATTTGTCTCCAGTTCTTTTTGCACTGGTTGTTGGTAGAGGGCCTAAACTATAAATCCAGATAACTTCACTTTCACCAGCTGGGAATTTGGCTTGATGCAATTTTGCTGTGAGAGACAGGGTGCAGGATTTATCTTGAATGGAAAGATAAGAAAAGCTGGGATTATCCAAACAGATGTCTCAGCTGGCTGCTCACCTGTTTTACTTCTGATCATCATGGAAATGTTTACAAGAATTAGGATTGGGATGGAGACTGAGACTAAGATCTGAGTCTAGACTCAAACCCTTACTTGTGGAAATTTCAATGTATGGTAAAGGTAGGTGCCATTTTGCCATCCCTTGACTTTTTGTGAAATGGGACCAGGAACTCTTTCCTGTTCTCAAGCTGAAAGCACATGCAAAGACCATGTGCGGCTGGATGTCAAATGTGAATTTAAAATCCAAGTAGGCCTAAGGGGTTGTGGTTATGGTTCTCCTCATCTCCAATTTAAAGTGCAGTCATAAGCGGTGCTGGAGTAAAGCCAGAGGTCAAGCCTGGTCATAGGTGACCAGGTTATTAAAGAGCACAGTGGCTGCACAGTGAAATATTTGCAAAGTTACCAGTCTCAATTCATGACTCGGGTGATTAGATCCTTTTTCCTATTCAAGGGATTAGGGTATTTTGAGGACTGTAGTCTCAGTTCCAGCTGATCTCACCAAAATCTCATTCCACAATCTGGGATGTGCTGAGTTAGTCGGGATCAGGAAATGACCTTTATTTCATGTGGCAGGACAGAATTACAGGCGATTGCTAGAGAATACCCCTGGGAGCTTGCAAATGGTTGTTTGTTTACTCCTGGAACTCCCTGCCTTGCAAAGAGGTGCTAAAGAACCCAATTACTATATTTACATGAGTAATGGCTACCTCTGTGTAATGACTCACACTTTGGTGAAGCATTTCAGGTTAGAGGTAGCTGAAAAAAGACACACTTAACAGTCATGAAGACCCATTGTTGGGGAAAACTGAGCAGGAAAACCTGGTTGCTGCACACACAGGCACAGCAGGCACTGAACCTTGCCTTTACAACAAGGTCTTGGTGTAGACAGCCAGCGTGATGGCTGCTAAAAAAGAAATATCAGCTATTTCAACATATGACAATTGGAGGAAGGAGACTGTCCAAGCAGGAGGAACCTGCAAGGCTTCTTTCCCTGTGGACCCAGCACTGCTTGAAGCGGTGCTGCTGGGTGTGGATGGCACAGCCACGTCTCGTTCAGCCCAAACCAGAGCTCCACCACCAAGAGAGCATGGATGGGAGACTGGAAATGCTCTGTGCAGGTGCAGGCTATGGAAAATATTCCCCATATCTGTGCTCTCCCTGTGCTTGTGTGTGGGGAGGTTTTTCCCACCGGCACTGAGGTGGATTCTCTAACCTGATCCCTCGGACACTCACCCAGTCTGCCACGTGAGAATGTGGTGGGGACTGCCCGGCGGCGTGGCTGCAAGTTCACTCGACGGCGTGGAACTCCTCTGGCTGTGAGGTAAGGCAGCTGGAAAACAACCAAGGGTGGAGAAAAACAACCAGTGAGGAGAGGGCACAAGGGTCAGGGTGGTTCAGAAGAATCATCTGGTCAGACCAGCAGAAACATGTCTGGCTGTGAGTAAACACAGCCTAGGACAGACCTCACCCTGTTCCTGGGTGACTGTGCCCGAACATGGCACAGGAGCACCAGCCTACTGCTGACACTGCTGCGTGTCACGGGCTGGATATGGCCCCAGCTCTGCAGGAATGCTGCATTTCAGCCTGGCCTCCAGCTCAATACAGCCACCCTGACTCTCCTGAGCCTGCCTGGGAGACACCACACTTCTCGCAGCATGGAAGCTTGGATTTCCTGATGCCTGGACTCCATGGGTCCTGAACTGGACAAGCTCAGCCTGTCAGGCTCAGCCTCCTGCTTCCAGGGATGGTGGGAGATGCTCTGTGTCCCTAGGAGTCAGGGCTGGCAGTGGCTAGAGTCTGGACAAGTACACAGCTTCATGTGCAAAGGAGGAAGGCAGTTCTGAAGATTTCAAAAGGCTACAGCCACCTTTCACTATGCTTTTGTAAAAGGTGAAGTTTGGCTTTGCTGACAGTCCACTGTGGGACCACAGAAAGGCTTATCTTACTCCAATGAAAACATAGGCAAACTGGACTAAAAATAGGCAGCGGTTCTTGAGGGAGTTTCCCTGGTGAGGATCCAGCTTGTAAATCCACCTGACTACTCCTTCCTCCTCCTCAAGTCCACACAGTATTGACCCTCTGAAGTTAACACATGCCTAGAAGTCTGATCCTCTTTGAAGGACAGTGTGCAGTCCAGTAGAACTATCAGCTAGGGCTGATCAGCTGAAATGGTGGAGATTTCTACCTGGCATCCCCTTCTGTGCTGTTAAATACTTTAGTTGCTGCCAAATGACACTGGAAGTGAAAACCAAATTTTAATCTGCTCCTTGGAGCTGACAGCCCCTAAGGTCAGTGTTCTCCCAGAGCTGTGACTGAGAATGGACTCTATCCACAAAACCAATCTATGCTGCCAGCTGGTCAGGACAAGCTGTGATTACTGAGCACACTTCCCCCTGTGCTGCCCAGATATCACATTTAGGTTTAAAGACCCAGATGGGTGGGGGAATGGACTGACTAACAGTGATTTTCACATTCTTTCACCCCAATCCCACATTTTCCTGAACTGGTAAGGTTTCCAAAGCCCACCAAGGCAAAGCTTTCCAGTGTTCAAGCATTTTCTGTTGCTGCATTCCTTGCCCATTAACCAAAGGGAAGAAGACAGATTTTCATAGGGAGACATAGGATGGTTCCAGCAGCTGCTCAGTTATGTCTTGGGCCACACCTGGTCCTCCTGTGAGCATTGGCACCACACATAAATCAGCCTCTTCTCAGGAAGCTGTCAGTGGCCCATGAGGAGCCTGTGTCCAACCAGCTCTGGAGCTGGCTGAGAGTACAGGGCCCCACTGGTGCCAGTGTGGTGGTCACCATGGACCAGGAGACACGCTGAGATGTCTGAGAGCCAAGAGCCAGCATGGGTGGACACTGGTTGGCCCAGAGAGGCCATGAGGGCCAGTGGCAAGCCAAGGCTGAGGTGTGTGGCTCAGGTTTTGAGCAGTCCTTGATCTGTCCACACTGGTTTGTCCAGTGGTGACTGATAGCCAGTAAATATTTAACCTTGGACTGTTTCACAGCACACTGTGGCCTTCTAAGTGTAATGAATTTGACTGTTTTCTTACCATTAATATTAACAGCACAGAAGAGTGCAAAGGTCTGTACATGACACAGAGGCATAATACTGCACAAACTTCATCACTCTGATTTTCAGGATATTATTAGCAGAGCTATTGGAACTGCATGGGAAAACCAAGTCTCAGCAGTGCACAAAGATGTCATCACTCAAACATTTTTGTGGGGGGTGAAGGGGTTGGGATGCCCCCAGTTAACCTTTCTCATGCTTTTTTCTCACTGAAGACACACATTCTCCTACTCTGTGCTGAACCCCTGCTTGCTTCATCGTTCCCCTGTGATTACGAAGAGTGATGCTCCTCATGGTTTCATCACCTTCAGCCCCTAGTGCCCTCACCCAAAACCCCAAACTCTGAGGAAAGATCTGGCAATAACCAGGCTTCAGTCCCTCCCTGTCTTTTGAGCCTATCATTGCAAAGTGATGATTTCCACAGAAAAACATTCCCACTCAATGAGTGTCTTGGACAAGGCTTACCCCCCAGTGTTATACCTCCAGGCTTGGCGAGCAGCACGTGAAGGCCAGATAACATGCTGTGGTCTGGCACTGCTCTCCAGCTGGGGTGTAATGCCTGGCACGAATCCGGGCTGCAGGAGGCCCCCATCCCTCCCACCCCTTCTCCCAGGCCGGACTCTCACCTGATGTTGCTTTACACATCTGAGGCATTCTCGTGACCCTGCTGTGCGCCACAAAGGTGCTTTGTGAAGATGTGCTGTACTGGGAGCTGCTGTCCGAGGAGGTGGAGCTCGTGTGCGAGAGGCGGCTGTGCTCCTTGTGGGAGGCCGTGGACCGCTGGTACCAGAGCCGCAGCTCGTCCGACACCGCAGTCCTACCCGAGCCTTTCTCGTGGCCCTCCCTGCCCAGAGATGGAGTCCTTATGATTTGGGAGCGGGAGGGGGTGAGCCTGACCGAGTCCACTTCATCTCCGTGCCAGTTCTCCTTAAACATCCCCCCCGCCGTGTAGGAGTTGGAGGTTTTGAATTGTGCTTTCACGCTGTAATGCCCCTCCTGGTCGTTCTCCAGGCTCCGCACCACCACGGGCGTGGAGCTGCCCTCGATGTACAGGGGGTATTCTTTGATCCTGTACTGGGAGGAGGGCTGGCTCTGGCTGTGCAGGTAGACACGGTGGTGTCCCGTCCCGTTCCTCGCAGCCAGGTTGGGCATGCTCCCTGAATTGGAAGAGACCAGGTTGCCTGCTGATTTGTGCCTTTGCCTCTGCCGTTCTCTGGCTTTCGATGGGGAATCCTCTGCCAGGGTGGAGTAGTTGGGGTTCATCTGAGCAGGGTAGTAGTGCTCAGAGCTGGAATGGCTGGTGCAGGAAGAGCAGTCGTCCATGGGGTCAGAGCCGTTACTGCTACGAGTCCTTGGGGTGTAGAAATCGGGGCTCCCTGTCTCATTTTCTGAGCCGAGGAGCTTTCCTTGTGACTCCAAACTGGAGCTCCGGTGCCTAAAGTGCTGAGCTAAGCTGTGCAGTCTGGTTGGGCTGATGTCTACTGACCTGCAGGTACCAGGAAAAAAAAAACAGGCTGGTAAGTCAACAGAACACAGCACTGCCCATCCCTGCCTGCACACACAGGCAAAGGAATCTGAGGCAGTGAAAACCTGGATCCCTCCAGGACTGCGTAGGGCTGCTGTCTGCAATGCAACTGCTTCCCTGCTGCAGGGTTTGGGGTAATTAGGTCCTATTCTTGTTCCTCTCCAGTTCCTTGGTGTGACATTCAGTCTGCAGCACCATGAGGGACATAAACCCTTACTCAGCTCCATTCCTCTGTGGCTTGCCACCCTAGGAAAGGGTCAGTCTGAGGGGTGAAACCTGGGGACCTCAAGCCCTGGCTTTGCTGGTGCAGCTGCATGGCAGAGCTCTTTGGATCAGCACCGTCCCTGTGCTACCAGGTTCCCCTTGTGTCACCTCTGCAAATCCCAACACCTCAGGCCCCAAAGGTGGTGAGATTTCCTTGCAAGTGGCCCACGAATACCCTGTACAGGTACAATCCACTTGGTGGGAGACAGACAGACAGACAGACTGCCCATACTTAGCCTAGAATGCCGTTTAAAAAATCACCTCTTGTCAAGCAGCTCGGTTTTACTGGGGCCCAGCCACAGGCACATGTAGGACTGTCAGAGGGCGACAGCCCTCCAGGGAACCACCCCAAATCACAGTTCACAAGGCTTGATTCATGGCCGAGTCTGGGTGGTCTCTATTCATCCCGACTGTTAGAAGAGCTTCACCCATCCGTTCAAGGAACAGGAACACATCCCCATGACAGATGGTCAAGGCCAGGGCATGCAGCTCTTGAATGAGCCACAGACTGAGCAATGGTTGTTTCAGACACCCAAATGGCCCCTACCTGGTCAAGGTCACTTCTCAAGCCCTATGCCAGGCTCATTTCTCACATAGCTTGGCTCCAGTACTTAACAGACTTTGCACTCTTGAAAGGTACTCTCAGCCAATAACTTGTAACAAACTTAACCCGGGGTCTTAATGCCTTGTACTGTCTCTGCCTGAGGCTGATGTATTGGCACAACTCTTGATTTATGCTGAGCTAAATGAGGATGGTACTTCCCCTTAGGGCAGGACACCAACTAGCACACAGCTCTGGCTCAGCTCTGCTCCCTGCAGTGTCCACGGAGTTTGCCACAAAAGCAAAAGAGCAATGAAGCTGAACAGTTTGTAGAAATCCTGCTAAAAATTGGAGTCAAATTGGGCCACACACATCAAATCACTTCCCTTATGCACTTCGGCTTTTTCCTCTGTCAACCCTGGGCTAATCCACTGCCACCTGGATCCCCAGGTGGATTGCTTTATACGGCCTCTCCCTCTCCACATGACATCACACACATGCAAACATTTTATCTGTGAGACAAAATTAACACTACCCAACATTTTGCATCAGATAGGAAACAACATGTTCTCTCCAGCTGGATCCATGGAAGAATTTACTGCAGAATTCAGCAGTAGCAGCACCACACGTGTTTTAAAAGTGACTTGGGGTTTGTAGAGCCTATAAACAGCCCCTGAGATGAAAGGTCTCAGCAGAACAAAAGCTTGATCACTTTGAGGGAGGGATGAGGGGCAGGATCGTGTTCATCTGAAGGGATTTCAGGATCTCAGTTCAGGAGAGATTCCCTACTGGCAACAGTACGCGAGCCTCTTATGTGAACAGGGCTGGTTTGTGTCCTGTCCTGAACTGGGAATTAATTGATACCCTGGGGAAAGGATAAAGCAAGGAATATTTATTTCAAGGTATGCAAAAGAGAATGGAGCCAGGAAGACTTACCGTGTGGAGTGGACATAGTGCGGACTGCGTACCCGTAGATCCGGCGTTGACGGCATGCTGGACTGGGAATTCCAGTGGGGAAGGCTCCGGATGGGGCTGTTCTGCAGAGAGCTGCTCCCTCCTGCCTCGGCACAGCTCCCAGTGCTGGGGAACCGCTTGTGACTGCTGCAGAGGAAACATCCACTTCAGCTCCCGTCAGGAATTTGGGGAAGTGACTCCCATGCGTCTTTCCGGATCTCAGGCATGTGCCTGGGATCTTGTGGGTGTGAGTGGGAGTTGGGTCAGCTGCTGCTCTGTCCTAGTTAGGACAACTGAGACCAGTTCATCAGGGTATGGGTGTAACCCAAAACTGTGTATTCTATAGCCTTCCATGCCATTTCCCAGAAACTGTTATCAATGAACCATTTACACCATCTGCCCATAGAACCTGACTCCTCAGGCTATAAACTAGGTGTTAAGAGGCCTGTGAGATAGGAGGATGCTCCTGTCCTCACACCCTTTGTGGAACGCCCCGCCCTGAGGGAAGTGCTGAGCATTCCTGCCTGAACTGCAGGATATATAATCTTGGAGTCTTGGAACATTTTTAACCACTCTGTGGGATCCAGAGAAGGACTGCGGCTCATCGCTCTCAAACAGACGTGGACCACCACCCTATACTGGACTCCAATCACCACTTTGACCAGACTGCAACAGCTCTTCCCCCAGCATCTCACTGCAATCACCACTTTTGACTAGACTGCAACAGCTCTCCCACCAGCAGGTTCTTCCCCTCTCCCTTTACTTTGGACTCAAGCGGGGCCCAAGGAACACCACGTTGTTCATGCCCCAGGGTACTGGGTTATACATGTGGGTTTTGTGGGTTAAGACCAATTGTTTGTTTGTATGATTGTACTTACTGTATTATTTTAGTAAATTGTTATTCTGACTTATAATCTCTCCTTTGAGTTGAGTTCATTTCCCCTGCTGGTTAACTCTTAAACCAGCACATGCTCTAAGCTGCATCCCAGAGCCTGTGCTTCTACAGCAGCCAGAGGTCAACTCTCAAAGACCTCAGATGATCCACCATCCTTCCCATTTAAATGTTTTGTAGAATAGCATTGAGATACCACACAGCAATCGTGTGGCTGCAGCCTGTCTTTATGACCTGCATATTGGCCAAAACACCTAAAGTCTCACCTATTGGTAAGGGACCTATTTGTAAATCTTGAAAGGGCTCACACCCGTCCCTCCTGAGAGCAGAGAATGCCTCCGTGATGGAGCTTCGAGGTATCTGGCTCACCTGGAATGGCTGTGCGAGGAGCGTTTCTTGACCTTCTCATAGGGCTCATCCAAGGATGACTCACTCCACATCTTGGGTTTGATGGGGGACTTGTCATAGTCGTTGCGGTGATAATGCATCTGGCGGAGCCCTTCCAGCGACTGCGGAGGAGGAGGCCGGTTGTGCAACGGCGGCCGGGGAGGGAGTCCTTTGTGTGGGGACTGGAGAGGGGAGATTGTGCTGGTGACCTGAGAATCCTCTGTGAAGAGAAGAAGGGAGAGAGGTGATGGCTGTGTGATACTTCCAATGGAAGTACAACCTCGAGAGACACCATCACATTTCCAGAGCCTGTTTCCTTTCCCTCCTTCTCCTGCTTGTGTTCAGGAGCAAGCTGAAGACCTGACTTTCAGAAATGCACTGGCTGACGTTCCCATTTTGGGAGAGAACGGCCAGCAAGAGTGTGTGATGCATTAAAGCAATTGAAACCTTAAAGGAAAATAAGGGAGCATTCTGGGACTGTCCTTTGAGATAATTCAGTAACCACAGCAATATTCATTGCTCCAGGTCGGATGCCTGACTACAAGGTGGAGTCAGGGGAAACCAAGTGATTTTGCTACTGGGATGTGTGAGTGGATTACTATACAGAACAGTTATTCCATTTTGAGTATCAACCAGGACTTCACACCTCCCTCCCTGCTCTCTAGAACATACAGCAGCCAACATACCATCCTCGAGAACAAGGGCGTCTGAGAGGGAGCTGTCTTCACTGGCAATGTTTCCTTCTGAAAGGAAGAAAATATAAAGCTGCTCAGATGGTCCCAAGAATCGCAGTGACTGCGTGCTGAACTGCACCATGATCTTTGTCCACCGAGTCTTAGCCTTAAGCAGTCACCCACATCTTCCTCCTCACAGAATTCCTATAAACAACTGACTCAGCCCAATCTCAGTCTGGGAGGGCAGAGCTGCAGCCAGAACTCTCAGTAGCAGGCTGCCTTTCAAGGAGCTGCTAACCCTTTTCAATTAATGGGGATTAAGACTGAGTCACAACAGAGAGCTAAGATCCCCAGAGGATGCAAAATGGCATGGTGCCATTATGAGATTTAAATCTCGGGCCTTAAGGACTCTGGGTTTGATATCCACCTTCTTAAAATGATTATCCTGTTGCTAACTAAAGGCTCACACTAAGTACCAGTTCTGTGGAACTCAGGGAAAGGCTTTCTGAGCATCCTCTGCAGCAGCATGAGAAGCTCACAGGTCCTTGGTGTGAAGAGGTTTGAGCTGCCTCCCCCATCCCATGTCCTCATGGCTCTCTGTTATCCCTGACTGCGGTGCAATTTGGTACCCAGGTCACAAATACAGCAGCTCTAATCTCAGTTCCTGCCACAAAGGCACAGAGAAAAGCTTTGCAAGTTAAAGGGAAAGGGCAAAATCCACAAGGGAGAAAGAACCACAGCAGAAAGTTAATGGATTTCATGAAAAACCAATCAACAACCTAGTAAACCATAAAGTGCCCTGAGAGTTACATTGTAAAAGAAAAAAAAAAAAAGAAAAAGAAAAGTATTTGAACACAGCAATGACACTGCTCCCACTTTGATTTCACAGATGCCTTTCAGCTAGAGAGCTCACCCCAATCTGCTAACATTAATTACATTTGTGCAGAACCGCTCCAGAGGAGACGTTAACAGAGCGATTTAAGAGGTGAACAAAGGAGCCACATTCTGCTCTCCTGACATGTTTGTCACCCACGGTGTGACCCTGCTCCTTGTGCCATGACCCAGCAAATCCCTAACGCATGGCACATACCCCAGCACCCCTCTGACAGCACCCCTGGAGCCCTCCAGACAGGAGAGGGAGCAGGAGGGAGGGGAAATCTGTGCCTCAGGGCAAGAATTTTGCTCCCCGTGCTCTGCAGACCCCCCGTGATGCCGTGGGTGCCAAGTCCCACTTACCATCTATGATCAGAGAGGCCCTCTGGGTTGGCTTCTTTCCTGATTTGATGCGATACTCGTTGATGGCATTCTCGATCTCCTGCAGCTTCTTCAGTGCATTCAGATAGGATGTCTTCCTCTGCTTCTTCAGCTTCTTGCTGACGTTTGGGTCGCTCGCCAGGCGCCGGGCAGCCTCCGTGATCTGGGACTGAATGGCAAATTCCCTTTCCAGTCGCTCCAGCTCTGCCTCCTGGGAGAAAGGCAAGTGGATTCTGGTTACCACCAAACTCTTCCAGCCCATCTATGGGGAAGCTCTCCTGAACCTGACCAGTGGCCTCCAATCAAGGCTCCCCATCAGCAAAGCATACACAACCATGCTGCTCCCCTCATCTCAGGGCCTCCCTGAGCACAACTTCACCTGCTCACATGAGTGCCTGGAAGCACAGCTGGGGGAAGGGATGACCCACTCAAAGAGGACATGTGCGCTCCAGCCCTAAAGCCTGCTGTGCTGTTTGGCTTTTCATGCAGTTCAATATGGCCAAGTTCAACTGTGCTCTCCTGCTGACACATTCATGTGTTTACACCCATCTGTGGGTAACACCTGCCTTCCACTTGCTCCTTCCCCCTGTCTCCTATCTCCATATTTGAGTCCCATTTGATATCAGTGCTACATATTGATCCCAAGCTACAGCTTTAAACTTCGTGACAGGTTTGCTTGGCACTCACCAAACACTTTGGGGTAGAAAGGGCAAAGATGGGCTAACTCATCCCCAGTATATGGCTGTCAAAATCCAGAGGTGAGTATGAGCTGATGTAATTATGGGCTGCTGCAACTGATTGCACCAGAAAATTGTCTCCTCACGTTACAAGCCAGGAGCCAGAGCCAGCAGTGTGTAACAGCAAGCTCTCTGTATGCCAAAAAGAACCAGTGCCTTCAAAGTTAGTCCTTGCAGGGTCTCAGATGAGTTTTTAAATGCAAGTAGGTGTACCCTGGAAGCTACCTACAACTTTTGGTTATCCTCCAAAGTCAAGGGACTTAGGCCAATTTATGCCAATGCATAAGCTGATATTGAGCTTCCCAGTCTGCACTGGGACTCCAAGCTGTGAGTTTCAAAGGTACTTGCTAATCTGAAATGGATCTGGCTCCCTTCCCCAGCTGGATGGAGTAAGTCTGCTAGAAAGGGGAACACAGTACATTGCAAATTAGGGAAAAAATGACAATCTTTTTTGCTTTTAATGAACGGTGGGACAGCCTCATATTCATGGAGATCCCCATTACGCAAATTCAAATCCTCTCTTTGTTTAGCAGCAGCATGTGCTGTATGAGCTGATGCTGTGGGATTTATTCAGACTGAAGACATTCTCTGAAGTTTTTATTCTGGGCTTCTGGCTTAAAAAAAAAAATCCCTTTGCTATCAGTAATGAGTCAGCATTGCCTTAAAACTATAATTATCATTTCCCTCACTTCACTGAAGACTGAACCCACCCCCTGTCTTTTTAACAGATCCCTTTTTGCTTTGAAGAGTTTATAAGCTCTATCAGTGCCAGACTTATTAAAAGTGAACTTAACACCATGAAGTATTAAGGCCTGAAACCTGATTCATCATCTTCTGGTAAAATCCTTCCCACAGTCAGGAATTACAGGCCAGGTAAAGGTGATTACCAAGAAAAACAACAGGACCCTTCCCTGCAAGTCTTGCACTGACAAAGGTCTTGCTGAAGGTACGGTGAGTTTGATGTGAGCTGTCATTTCAGACCTTCACAGATTCAGTTCTAAATCATTCAGTATATCATAGGAAAAACATATTAATTTTCCTCACGGCCATAATTGTCTATTTTCTTCCAGTGAGGCCCCTATAAATAAAGCCTTAGGAAATGAGAGTTATCATCTGGCTTCAGATGGAAGTGCCTTGCTTCAGGTCCTTGTCACAGTTGGTAATTTCAGTCCTGGATTTACGTGGCTGAGGGAATATTTCATCTTTTGCTTTAAATTGATTTTCCAGTGTTTGCACTTGCTGAAAAACACATGAAAATCATCACTGGCCTCTCTAAATGCTCTCAAACTGGCAGCCAAACACAGTTCAACATCGTTCTTCGAGAACAGAAATTTATGGTTTTCAACATAGTCCTAAAGTTTGACAGATGAGAAAGGAGGTAGAGAAGAACTGAGTCAGCATGTTTGGATTGCTGGTGCCAAAAGGCTGAGTGCCTGCAATGGGGAGGAGCTGCTTTACCTTCCTGCTCTCACCACCTAACCCTGCCACTGGAGTAAGGAGATTCCTCACCCGCTGGCCCCAAAAGCTGCCTTCCAGCAATAAGACCTGGGGAAGCTGGAGATCAGGTTATAACTGAGCAGCCAACAGACTGCAGGGGTTTTAGGAGTAATTCAGCTAAGCCATGCCTCCCTTTGAAAAGCTTAATTAAATGTGCTAGTTCATGAATATTTGACTTCGCTGGAATTCCTCTCCCAGGCTCCATTGAAGACAAAACTAAAGAGCTCCAGCTGTTTATTTTTTCAGCAGAAGGAAAACGCCAACAAAACGACAAACAGTTAATTCCCTGGCTGAACCGAGCCTTAAACCACACAGTCACACCAGCTTCAGTCCCTCCTCCTACGAAAATAAAAAGGAAACTCAAGACTGGGATACACACAAGTGCCTTGCAAATGCGTCTCCGCAGACAATGGCTGTTCTGTGAATCCGGTCCCGCCTTACAGCTGCTGCAGGCCTGTTTTCACAGCCACGGTTCAGGGCACTGACCCAGCACACTGTGGGAGCAAGGGAAGGGAACAAACACTCCCTGGCAAACTTAGAAAAATGTAACTCCAGCTCCCCATAGGTAGGGATGAAGGCTCTTTTGTTTAAGGACTGGGGAGCAAAACGCTTTTATCTTGCTATGGCAGGGCTAAGATGGATAATGGTGATGCTTTTCTCCCTGGTTAGCAATCCTGAATTTGGATTGCTACTGAAGTGGAAAGCAAGTGGCTGTTTGCAATAACACAGGCAAAAGCAGGGCTCATATGGCTCAGGGAGGCTCCTGGTGTGCTCCCTGCTCACACAAATCACTGCACTTGGTCATCAGAGCACCTGGACTGCTATGGTCCAGTTGGTCACCCAGGCTATTTCTGTTACCTCCAGCAAAGGCAGGGTGAACCTCGAGGGTTTCACCTTTATTCTGAGTCTGAAAGCAAGCCATCAACTCTCTTGCTCCTTCCCCATTCTGATGAATATAAAATAAAAGGCCAATTACAGTAATTTATAGCAAAAATGACCATAGGTACTGATGGCTCTTGTGTGATGCACAGTGGACATCTTAGAGACCTAATGTAGGGACATGGGTCTGGAAGGGAAGGGCACAGCCTCACCTCTCCTTTAGGCAGGATTTTCTGCTCATCCAATTTAAAGGCAGTTCCTATTCTTCTCCTCACAATAGGTGGCTCCTCCCCAGGATCCAAGGGGTATTCTCGTGGCAGCTTTCCTGTGAGCTCCTGTAAGCAGAAAATGCTGTTAGTGCTCTGGGAAATCCTGCAGCAGAGCAATGCACAACACTGCTCTTGTATGACCCTAAAATGACAGGCATTCATTAACAATATATCCTGATAACCACACAGGAGAGCGCCCAGCCCTGCAAACTCAGAACCTGCCACTGAGGGTGGGAACCTTTTCTTTAACCTGTGCATGAATACAGACCTTCGTGGCCTGCCCTGGGCAGGTCTGTAAGTGGTGCCCATCCCTGGGGCGTCAGGGCCTGAGGCTGAGCCGGCTGCAGCACACAAAGCCTTCATCTCTGCTGCAGGGTAAGCAGGAACCAAAAGCTCCCATCTGCTGAGCTACTTCTGAGGGAGTGAGCAGATCAGAGAGCCTTCCTGCAGGATGCAGGTCTGCTGAGTCAGAAAGCCACACTGGTAACAGCTGTGCGGGTTATGACCTGCACAGAAAAACATTCCCACCTGATTCATGATGTGTCTGAGAGGAATGCAGTGAAAACGGCCACTAAAAGCAGTGCCTGGTACCTCATTACCTGTCTGATAACACTTCATGTATCAGAGCCCCTTCCAAACCCCAGTGATGTCACGGGCAGCTTTGGAGCAATTATTAGCTGACGCTCTGTCAGACTGATGGGGTTTTTTGCAAAAACTTGTTCAAAATCTGAAGCAAACCCTACAGAACTGAGGAATATCTGGAACACAGGAAGCAGCAAATGACACTACTGATGTTAATGCTGTGGGTTTTTTCTCCTGGACTACACAATACAGCCACACAGATCCGAACTGAAGGCATTCAAATGGCTACAGAAATAGGCAGGAGCCTGACTACCAGCACAGCCCGACTCCTTGTACTCAAAAGTCTCCCCATGAAGGACAAAAGGCTTTTGTGTTCCTTAGCATCAGCCTTGAGAGGATCCAGCTGGCAGAGTAACCTAAATCATCTGAATCCCAAAGAACAGCAGCTGACCTCAATGTGCATGTGGGTGCACAGCCCCAGTCCTTGCCTGCCCTGGCCTCTCCCTGGCTCCCTAATGGGGTTTTTCTTTCTACTCTTTTCAGGTCATCAGGAAACAAGGACCTGGCCTTTTCAAAAATTCCCTTTAAGCAATTCCCAGCAAAACGGGTTTGCAGCACTGCTCTGTGTCGATGTGCTCAGCCTCGTATTGCAGGAGGCACTGCTGCAATGTCTCAGAATCCCATTCTGCATCGCCCCTCCAGCCCTGTGGGGTTACTTCAGCTTTTCTTTCAAAATGTCTTCCTTCTACTGAGGTTTGGCTCTAAGCACTGCACCAAGTCACATATTCCTGTATTCTATCCCGAGGGTAACAGGGATACTTTCTTTGTAACTCCTAAGGTAATATGAAGGAGGGCAGTGGTGAAAGAGTTAATATCTTCTGTAGAATGCCCAAGATCAGAGCAGGACAAAATTAATGTGGGCTACCACGCTGCCTCCATAAGCTAAAAAGTATTCACAGGCATGGTTGTGAAATGTAATCTAAATTAATAAGTAACTGGAGTAGGGATGGCCCGAAGTAACCTGATGCCAGTGTTATGAATGGCTCTGGCCATGCTTATTTGATTATGCCCCTACTTTTAACCCTTTTTTATCTCCTGGTTTGCTGCCTTCTCCCTCTGTTTTGGCCATTCCCATGCCAAAGCAGAAAGGATGAAGGGCAGCCTGAGAGGAAATACTTTCAACTACTGGCTGCTGATGGATGAGCTGTAAGGTTGCAAGACGGGGTCAGATTCCAAGTGTCCATCAACTACCTACGGAAAGCATGAACACTTTCTACCAGCTCTTAAGGTGCTGACAGATGGGCTCTGGCCAGCCTTGCTGCAGCACACTAAAGAGATATTGCTCCTTATCCCCAGCTCCATGCCTCAGTGGGGCTTTTGCCTGCATCCCAGTTGCCTGTGTAATGTCTAAGGCTGCACTGAAGACAGGACTGGGGTTAAAGGGAAGGCACTGGGCTGTGAGCTCCTGCAACTGTGGCATAGGCACATCTTCCCCTGCATGTGGTGCTGCTGCAAGGATTAGTCACTGGCTGTCAGGGAGTGTTAGCTTAGGGTAGTAAATTCCTCAGGGAGAAGTAGAGCCCTCCAGACCTTGACCATCAGCTCCTGAAGAGCTGTGACTGCTTCCTGCAGATGATCTCAGCTCAGTGGACTTACAGACTGGATCTGGTCCTGCAACCTTTATCAGCACAAGTTGTTTGCTGAGGTCAACCAGGGCTTTGCAGATGGGAAAGGATTGCTCATGTGGAGTAAAGGGTGTGAACTGGGGTAGCAGAGATTTCCTCTGACATTCTTGGTTGAGAGGTATTTTCCACAACTTACTCTTTTTGGCATTAAAACTATAGACTAATTGAAACAAAGTGCAGTGAGAGCTGAATCAGTGACCTTTTTTCCCCATTTTTGTCAAAGGCGAGATACACATCAAATATTAAGCAAGAACTGAAAGATCTGCGTGCCACTGTCTGCAGCCAGCTTCCTGTTGTGTTACACATCACGATTTGTTGTTAAATTCAGATACTCAGCCCTGGTAAACATAGGAAGATTGCTGAATGACCCAAGAGTACTCTGCTGCTAATCTACACACACAGCTGCAGCAGGGTTGTGATTTCCCTAAACATTAAATGGATCTCTGAATGGCCTCCTGTGTACTCCAAAAATGAACTGGCAAGTGAGTCGGAAGGTTATGAGTTCCTGAGACGTCCCGCGTGTCCTGGGATGACTACAGTGGTTCCTCTGCAAGGTCTGCCACCACACTGCCAGAGCCTATTGGATAAAGGGAATCTACAGGGAGCAGATGAGACCTTGTGTGCTGTATGAAGGACTGTGCTTGGAGAAGCAAAGCATGTAAAGTCAGGCCAGCTCCAAAAAGAAGGTGTGTCAGCCTGGGTTGGTTTTTTTATTCACAAATGGAGTCAAAAGCATTTGAGAAGTGATGACCAGTACATAAGACGTCCTTCCTAACCTGCCATTTAGGTAGCAGCATATTCCCACCAAAGTCAATAAGAAGCCTGGCTGAACAATTTCAAACAGCAGACATGGATACTGAGCTCCCTCCTAGCCCCAGGCCAACTGGGTACCCAGCTGACGTGGGGTCCCCTTCTCTGAGGGGGAAAATGTCCCGGACATTGCAATCTGGAGTTGAAACAACTGGACTTTCCTGAGGTGACTGTGGAAGGTATCTCTTCTCCTGACCCCACGCCACCTCCAAACAAGAAGCATGCTATAACAATGCAAACAACAAAGTGTTACAGGTTATAAAATGTCCATTGCTTACCGCTTCACGCAGGCACAGTTTCTTTAGCTCTTCCAAGCGTTGGCGCAGTGTCTCTTCCAAAGCTTCTTGCCTGGATTTCAGTGCAGCCAGCATGTCTTTCTTGGCAGATTGAGAACTATCTGACTCTTGGGAACCTGTCAATAAACAATGATTTCACTAGGCCAGCTGACATCAGAATACACATCTGGAGTGCTTGTAATTTTACCAAAGCCTGGATGCAGTCCTTCCAAAAAGAAATTGGACTACGACATGAAGCAGGTGTTCCCCAGTCATGATTGTTTACAGCAAATCCTTAATGTTTAAGTGAACAGTCAGAGATTGGACAGTGGAGCACATTAAGACATTTGCAATCATTATCCGGAAATATAAAAGCATCAAAATTATTCATCTAAAGATCCTAGAACAAAAACACGTACAATTCCCATGAAAGTTCCCAATGGCAAGTAACAGTACAGTTTACAAAGCCCTGGAGACGCATTTTTGGGAAATTAAGCCTAAGAGAAGCCATTTGACAATACAGCCTACTTCTTAAGAACTGCAATTATCCTGGTAGCAAACACGTAATTCAATCCACTTATGGGGCCTGTTCTATGAAAAACTGTAATGGAACAAAATTACCTAGCAAGATTCCTGTAAAACAAACTGAAACAACAACAACTATAGGTCCTTCTGGGATAGTAGCTGTTTCTTGTGAAGACGTAGGTCGAGAGATTTAAACTGCGTGTCCAAATGGTTTGACTTTTCAAGTGGCAACTACCCAGAAACTTCCACTGACGTAAGTCCATGCATTGAGTCAGACTGTTGCTCAGATGTTGTGACATTTCTAATTTCATCTCTTTGAGGGAACTTATTGATGAAGTAACTTTATCCTTTCTCCCCACATCCAGCAAAGGATGGAGATTCTCCTTACCCCTCCTTTGGCTGCTACGTATTAATATAGGGGTTGGACTAAATGATCTTTGAAGGTCCCTTCCAACCCAAGGGACCAACCCAAACTGGGAAGGAAGTTGTACCATTGCTCCCTTTGCAGGCATGATACAGGACCCTGTGTGACCCACACTCTTGGATCCTCTAACCTACCTAAAATGGCACTGGACACCTATGTGAAGGCAGCTGGATTGTTCTTGGTGCTTTGTAGACACTTCTTGTGTAATGCTGTAGGGTTATGCCTGCAGAAAAGCCTTTGACCTGGCAATGCTTTCAAAGGGATTCCTCCTAGTCCTCAGTGGACTCAGCACAGGCTGTTCCAGGGTGACTCTGGGGGGCTCTCCTACCCCTCTCGAGCAACGAAGCAGAGAAAGCAGACCTTTATTATCTGCAGGAATCAGATACAATGGGATGCTACATGAAATTTTCTGTGCACCTGTCAGGTGGGGGTGAGAGGGGCTCCTAGATACATTTGCAGCTTGGCTGCCAAGCATTCAGTGAAAACACTCAGCCCAAGGAGGTTGGAAAAGCTGTTATTTCACAGAGCTTTGGAAGGAACCTGGGAACAATTCTTTGTTTTGGCAGCAAAACAGTGAAATTTGTGCTTTTAGCTTCATCTTTCATTGCTACTATTCCAGCAGACCATTAAAGCTAAACTGAAAGAGGACTGAGGCAAAAAATGCCACAAAACACTTCTGCATTGGCCCAGGGGGAGCAGAGAATCTCACAGTCTTTCCCACCAATATTTTCTGCAGTTTTCATGTAGGAAGACAGCTGGCACTTACTCTATGAAACACCACCCTGCTTTGTTACATCTTTTATTGGGCTGTCCTGAGGTGGGGGCAGTGGAAAAGGTCTCTCTAAAGGTCAGCCAGGTTGAGCAATATCAGACAAATGAGGAGACCCTCATGGTAAGATGCTTGTTTAGTTGCTGTAGTCATCCTTGTTTGAGTTGGGTTTGCCCTCATAGAGCAATAACACTCAATTCTGCACACACGCCTGTGCTGCAAGAACTTGATGGGATCTTCCAGCAGAGCCTTGTATTTGCACTGGCAGGGAAAGCCCTCTCCAGCATTTAGTAATTCTTAATAGTAACCCTGGTGAGCAGTTACTAGCAAAACTGAACTGCTGAATTTCTTCACAGACTTGTCAACAAACTGCAGAGTCCTGGTAAAAAGTTGCTCATGATTCCACCATATGTTTCAAACCTTTTTTTTCTTTTATGACAACTTTAATGACCTACGTTTTCCTTTCAAGTCCTCTTCCCCTTTCCTTCCTCTCTCTGCTCCACACCTCCACGCCAGCCTCGAATTTATTTTTAAAAGCTATTCGTTTTTGCACTGTGGGTTGCCACAGCAGCTACATACAAACATTTAAAAGCATATGAAGAGCCTAAAGCCTGGCCAGGCGCCTGTGCTGCTTTGGGGTATGCCGACAAGAAGGAAACGAGCGGCTGCTGGTTGAGCTGGTACAGACCCAAGTCAAGCACAGACAGTTCACAGCATCTGCTCCAGCTGTGCTTACCCTGTGTGAGAACCACACTGGTCTCACCCCTGATGCCGTCGGTGGCAGTGCCCACTGAGTGCACATTTTGCCATCTTTTTCACCCCTCCCAGAAAGCAAAGGAACTGGGGGAGATCTGGAAGTGTGCTGTCGCATCCTGAGTGAAGCAGTGGGGATACTGCTGAAACCAAGGTCAACCACTCCTTGGCACTACTGTTTGTTTGTTTTATTTAAAAGCTGAACTATTTTGGGGTGTATTATTAGATTTTTATGGGTTGGATTCTCTGCTTGTTCTCACAAGTAAAAAGCAAATGGAAACTTGATCAGCCAAGAGAATTACAGTCATGTGCAGAGAACAGTGCTCTGTATTGCTGGGTGCCTACAGCTTCCATTAGAGGCTCTTTATTTATAAATATGTATTAATTCAGCCTTGAGCAAGGCTGTGACCCCAGACCCACTTCTAAACCCAGCGGCAATTGACCCAAAAATGTCAGGACAAATCAGATAACCATAAAAACAACCAAAGAAATAACCAAAGACCAGCACAAACCAAATCAATGAAGCAGATACTACCTTAAATCAGTCTTATTAAATATGATGCTCACTGAGTTTCGGATGCCCAGTGCCTTCTGAAGGGCATCATCAACAGAGAAAAATCAGCCCTGAAAGATCAGTCCTAACACAAGACTCCTGCTGCAAATAGAAATGGTTGACTGGGAGGCTTTCTCAGGTATTCTATCTCCCACAATTGTTTAATACACTAAACAGGAGAAATGTTGCTGAAATAGGTAATTTTCTCGGACAACATTTGAACCTTTCTGTGAAAGTTATTATTCAGCCTCCTTCTCATTTGCTGTGCAAAGATTTACCAAACTCTGCATTTTAACACACATTTGATGTCCTTGAAAGAGGTATGAAAACACACTAGGTAGTAAGTACAGGGCCTTCTCTTTGGTGGGCACCAGGAACCTGCTCAGTAAGGGGCTGTTTTTATGTGTATGTGCCCTTTCTTCCTTAGCATACAGGATGGAACACAAGTCTTGGTGACCTAAACGTTTACTTAATACCCTACTAGTTTGTGGAAACACCACTCATCATCTGCCACCCATTTGGCCTCTCTGGGCAATTTCTCCATCCACTGACATTCAGAAGAACATGAACTGTGAAACAGGGGGAAACATGGTCCTCCCTATCCAACTCACTTCTCCACCAGAATTCATGGCTGAACCTCATCGGTGCTAACAGGCTGGTGTCTGATTGCTCCAACACTGGTGAGGTCAGGACAGTCTTGATGGTGTTGATGGGGACATCCAGCAAGTGATTCAAAGGATCTGACTGAGTGCTGTGCTGTGCAGGTCTGCTGGGGTCCTGGCTACTGGATGTTGGCTCCAAGACAAGCTTTGATTTAAAGCTTGTCAAAGGGATGAGACCAGCAATACAAGCCACCACTTTGCAGAAGGAAGCCCTACCAGTGACTCATTGTTTGTCCCTATTTCCTCCACCTGTTGTAGCAGAGTGGAGTCAGCTTGGAAAAGGGATAAATGAGAAGGTTGAAAACAAGCACGGAGGACAGAGGGGATGTGAAGAGCAGAGGGAGCCAAGTCTTGGTGGTAGTAACTGTGAGGGGAGAGGAGATGCAACAAAGTGGTCGAGGAGCAGCAAGGCAAAAGCATTCAGGCATCTCTTCTCTTTCTCATTCTGGGAGTCTCCTGTTTCAGGAAAAACACATCTAAATATGGCAAACCCTCCATGCTACATCCAGCTGCTGGCTCTGGCTCACTGGCATTTGTCTGAGGTCCCCGTGGAAGGCTGTTCCCCGAGCAGGGAGGGAAGTTCCCCCCACGCCTGCTCCGTGCCAGAGCTCAGGCTGACTCACCGTGCCAGGATGTCAGTGCACAACAGCCCACAGCCTCAGACGGCCGCTATCTGCTGTTCTCCTGTCTCTGCCCGACACATAGGATATCCTCCGCGGCGCGCGGGAGCCCAGCTGGAGCTGCTCCGCACAGGATGCGCTCAGATATCCTGTGGGCGACTCGTCTTTGCGAGCCCCTGCGCTCACGGGCTGTGATGGAGACCATGTGGGTGCTGTTTGTCCACTCCGACACCCGCCGGGGCGGTCCAGCCGGGATACGGCCTCGCCGGATGGAGCGGTGGGGGCCTGGGAAGGCTGGCTGGGCTCTGTCATGGGATTTTCAAACCTAAACAGGCCCCTGCACAGGAAACCTCCACTGCTGCTGAAGGAACGGGGCTCAGGGACCGGAGGCTCCTTGAATGTGTCTGCAGAGCTAAAGCAGAGGTGCTCCTCTGTGGTGTCTCCTCTGACCATGGTGATGAAGAAGGTGGTCTGGAGTTCAGTCCAACAGTAACCCAGTGGTTACAGGACTCCTCACTAGCTCAGAGCCCTGCAGAACTCTTATGGCACAAACTGCTCCATAGGAAAAATCCACCTTAGACCTAACTTCATTTTGTTCTGCTGGCTTTGATTAAGGTTTCTGCCAGTGTAAAAGCTTTCAGTCACAGACAAATCAAAGTTGTCCAGGGATGGCCCATAGATCCTGAGCAGAAGATCCCTTGGCTAAATCACAGCAGCCCACTGTTCTAAGGAGGCCACTTCAGATCCAAAATGAGGACAAAAGTTACAAATTCAGTTTGTCAGAAATTAACTTGTGAGCATCAGGTATCAAAATTACAACTCTGCAGTGGACAGGCTGAGATCAAGGACCTGGGAAACACGGAGAAGTGGAGGCTTTGGCCCTGAATTGCTGTGATCATGAGAAAGCTACTCCCCAGCGTAAGATTCCATCTCCCCTTGGCTGTGTCTTCAGACTGTAAGTGACGTGGGGCAGGATCTTTGCCAGACAGTGTGACAGCTGGAAGCAACAACAAACTTTTCCTTGCAGACTTGCTGCAAACCCAGGGGAGACATGCCAGTTTTGGCATGTTCCTCGTGGTGCTGACAGCCCCTCCAGTGAGGACGAGTGAGATGGAGGGAGGAAATGACTACAAGTAACTTTCAGGAAAAAAAAGGACTGAAAACAGTAGGAAAACGGGGGCACACAGAGGCTCGGTCCTGCCCTTGTGATTTCGAGTCACTTGAGGTATTTATAGCCTGGAAATCTACTGTGGCCACTTAATCATTTGCACTTATTCTCTCCACTGTGCAGGCTGTACTGCGATAACCCATCATTGTTGTGGTTGTGCGCCGATAATCTTTGGCACAATGGGAGGAAACACAAAGGCTGGGACAGAGCCAGTGACTGTGCCCAGTGGGACAGGCAGTGAATGCCCCCTCCTGTCCAGTGGGACAGGGATGGGACACCTCTGCCAGTCAGGCTCGAGGGAAGGGGCTCTTGGAGCAGAGGGGTCTGAGTGACTGCGTGGAAGCAATCCAAGGTTTCCAATTCCCTGGTATCTGCCCTCTTCCAGATGTCTTCTCTCAATACTTCCTTCCAGCTGCTTGTAGGTTCTGGAAGACACACAGCAGCAGCAAACCCCACAGCTCTCCTTACCATTTTGTGGAAAGCTCTGTCCTCAGTGCTGGTAGGACATAAAAGGCAGCTCTGAAGACAGGAACCCAAGGGGAGCATTGGTGCTTGCCTGGCACACCAGCAGCACCTCGACAGAAACAGGGGTTCACACAGTCCTACTCAGGCATCCAGGTAGAGAGATCCATTCACCCAGGATTGAAGAAATGACTCACCTGGTCAATGAATTTTGCATGGGCCTAGTCACTACTGCAGTTCTGCTGAGTCTACAAATCCTGTGCTCAGCTAGAAAGGATTTGAGGAAGGAGCACATAAATATAGAAATAAAAGCATGGGCAGCTCCAAGTTTGGAATTTCCAACCACATAACCCTGCTAGGTGCTGGCCCTACAGTAGGTTTTCTGGGCCTGATTTTCTGCTGGCTTTCACCTGGCTGCTGCTCTCCCCAGGTGTAAGAGCAGAAGCAGACCCTCATGTTTTTTTCCAGGAACACAAAAAGACAGTGTATGAACACGGAAACAGGATTACTACCAAGTAGCTCTCACAAACTTGGGAATGGTGCCCAGGAGGCTGGGATCTTGGATAGACCTTAAGAACTTTCTTGGGGTACTTAACGTTATTTACTTTCCAGCAGGAGAGCTGGAAAAAATGCCAAACAAACAAAGAGTTCCAACAACCCGACACCAGTCTGGGAGCTGCTGAGCTACTGCAACTCCCTAAGCGATGGGAGGCACACACAGTGGATTGTATACTTTGACAGGAAGACCTCAGGAGCAGAAAGGCAACTCTGTTTGCAGGCAAGGCAAGGAATTGCACAGCAGGCAGCTCTGGAGCTCTGTAAGTATCGCACATTTTAACCCCTTGCTGAACATTTTCCAAGCAGGAAAGTGCAGCTTGTAAGAGACATGAAGGATACAGTGATAAAAAGCTTATTTTACTACACCAGTGTGGGCTCAATTTTAAAGCATTTGCATTCTTATATGGGCTCTCCCCTTGTCCAAGCACGAGAAGGTTTTTCTCTGCTGTTATACATCTCAACACATTTGGTTTTGATAACTTGATGTGACGTTTAACAGAAGGTTAATTGACTGAAACTCTTAATTATAGTGATACCAGCAACCTTGCTCTCCTGAATACCTTCTCACCTAAGCAGCTTCAAGCTCTCTGCCACTGGTTCGGTAGAGAGTGCTAGGGAATAGCTCTGTTGGGCCTGGGACACCAGCCAAAGTCCAGCAACAGAGAGGCAAAGCAGATGTGCACTCTGTGAAGAAGATACCCTGCCTCAACACCGCTGAGGGACACCACCAGTTCCCAGCCTCAGCTTCCCTCGTGAGCTGCACTGGCTCACTGCTTCCTCACTGCTGGCTGGGCACTCCTTCACAAACCCATCTGCCTCGGGATGAGCTGGGAGCCAAGAGATGGTCAGGGTAGAAACTGTGAAGAGACACCAGGTTTCAGCTGGAAATTGAGAGGTTGGAGATGACATCCTGGAGGAAACAAGTGGTGGTAAAGAGAGAAGGGGAGGCTGCTGCCTGTGCTGTTTGTGGAGCAACATGCTGAGAGACAGACTGACACCCGGACATATAGAAAGGCTGAAGGGAAGTGACTTTCATTTCTGCAGCGCAGCTTCTGGCTGCTCCCCATTACACCATGACCGTGGCCCTTCCCACCATATTCCCTCTAGTTACAGGATAAAGGACCTACCTGATGACAGAAGACTCCCGCTGCTGCCGCTGATAATTTTGCCTTTACTCCCCATGTTGGCCAGCTTCGAGGTCTTGAGCGTTCCAGTTTCGGTCAGGTCAATCGCAATCTCACTCAGGCTTCTTGCAGCATGAATCTTGGACTGGAGGTGGACACAGGAGTTAGTAATGATCTAACACTTCTCTCAAGCTCACAGAAGGAAAAAGACCTTTCGCTGTGGCAGGAAACAGGCCTCCAAAGCAAACTTGGATTATTTTACAAGAATAGAAGCAATCTGGCACAGATTGCCGCACTTTTTACATTCTTTAGTGGGTACAATTCTGGCATTGCTTCCTGTTGTTTGGGTTTTTCTCTGCTTTGCTGTGCACATTTTTCCCTCTTAAACAAAAGATGTATGGAGTCACTGTTTTACCACATACAATAAGAAACCTTCAGAAATGCCTGCATAATAACCTGAAAAGCTCAAAGGCTAAAGACCATCTCTAGCATCTAACGGAAGCCAGGAGGGGCTTTTAAAAATCTGCAATGAGCTTTGGACCAAGACACAGTGAGGACATGGTTTAAAAGGGCTGTCATGAGAAGCTAGAAGAAAATACTAGCAGGAAAACACATTCAGGTTTTGTTGTCCAGACTAACAAGCTGCATTCAATGCCCCTGTTGTGAGGGACCTCTTCAAAGTATTAACATTACTCCAGTAAGAAACAAGAGCCAGCCACCTCAGTAACTGGCCACACTAGGGCAGGGAGTTACCCATTGTTCACCACGAAATGTCAACAAGATAGTTGTAGTCTGTAATTACAAAAAAGTAAACATGCATAGTGTGTAAACCTATAAAACAGAACAGAACAGAACAGAATAGAATAGAATAGAATAATTTCAGCTGGAAGGGACCTCCAGCTATTATCTAGTCCTCCTCCTATCTTAGGAGGGAATGAGTGGACTTCCTAAGATGTCACTCTTTTTCCATTGGCTATGGAAGGATTTGAGACAAGATGATGCCTGAAAAGTTGAGATAACTCCAGAACTTTCTCTTTGTTGAGCAGTAAGCTCAGATGTGGTCATGTCTCCAGAGCCAACAAAGGAAGAAAATGTTCAGGGCAAGGGGGTCAGCAGCCCTGAGCACTGAAATGAGCATGGCAACTGCTTCCAGGGTTGGGCTCACTCAGTCCTTCCTAGTGGCTGCCTTGCCCCTGCCATGCAAACCCCACTGTCACTAACTCACCAGCCACCTCCAGCCCATTCTCCTGACAGCCTCTAGCAGGTGCTTAACATGAACAAGAGGATCAAGAACATTGATCAAAGTTGCTGAGGATGGCCCTTCCAGCACTACTGGGAAGAAGAACCCAACATACAAAGGTCTTGGGTGGCCACAAGAATTTTTCAGTCCTTTTTTTGACCAATACAGCCTTAGGATCAACTTAAAATAGCAACTGCCACATCAGAACAACCCTCTCTAGTCCTCTGTCTCATTTCTGACTTGAATTATCTCCAAGAACTTAAAAAGTAAGGAAACTTTTCATTGTGGAATTATCTGTCCACATGGAAAATTTCCTCCTGCCTCTTCTGAACTGATATTTATGTTCTGAGCTCTATTTTATGTATTATGCATCTATTTTATGTATCTATTTTATGTTGTTGAAGTCACTTCAGGTAACAAACCACCACGTTAACAAGGAGGGAACTGACAACCAGGGAGAAGCTGGCTGTCTGTACCAAGGCACACAAAGTAACTGCTATTTATCTCCAAACCTGGAAATCTGCTTCTTGCTGCCGACCCTCATGTGAACCCCTCAGTCACGGATGGAGGGAGCTGGAGCTCAGCCCGTCACCCAAATCTCACAAGCCTTGTGCTGCTGAGCTTGAATTAGCTTGGCCTCACAGGGCCACTGACCTGTAATTTTGATTTCCCAGAACGCAGAAAGCTGTTGGTACATCTTGCCAAGGCTCTCCAACCACATGAAGAGTGGTGAAGCCTCAGCTCAGGATCACCTGAGTGTTCACCTCTGCACCTTCTCAAGGCCAGAGAAGACTCAGCCCCAGCCACACAGTTCAGGCCATGGGCACATCATCACAGTGCTGACAAATCAGAAGCTGACTGACATCCATGTACCAGGGTGTGATCTGTTCCCACTGGAAGTGACATGAAGCAGGATTACAAGGAACGCTTGCCATGATGGGATTTTTGGTATTACTTCACATTCTTAGGAAGAAGAAACCATTTCAACAAGAACTAAGGCTGTATTGATGGCTCAGTGCTTGCTACACTGAGCTTCTTAGCTCTGTTACTGATGTGCTGTGGGGCTCTGGGTAAGACACTTAAGGTTAAGTTCTTAGTGATCCCCTGCCTCTGTTTGAGTATCAGTGAAATAATAAGGGAAGGAAAATGTCTCCCTGTTGCACGCTGTACTTTTAAGATTGATTTAAGACTGCAAATGAAGACAGCACTGGGAAAGCCTTGCGCTGAAAACACCCTCAGAAGTATTATAATAATTTAATATTCTTGGGTATTTATAGGCTCCATCATTACCATTCCGAGGTACACAAATGCCTCACAAGCCTATTTCCACAACAACACCAATAATAGGGCGTGTGTTCTCACTCATTGGAGCGCAGAGGCTGAAATACCCGCCAAGATGTCAGAGCAGATCAGTCAACCAGTTCTGACCCTCTTCAGCTAATGTTGCAACCAGTTAGACACTTCTCGTTCCCAGCAGTTCCTCCCTAAAATCAGCTTCAGGAGAAGGACAGCACTCTTTAACTTCTTGGATCAGATGTTTCTGGTCAGAAACAAGGCCTGTGAAACATGTTCTCCAAACAGCGCTGGAAGGTTTGTTCTAGGTGAGGAGGAAAGTTACTACTTTTATCTAACAAGATTTCCTGCTACCGAAGTCTTGATAAGGAGCCTGAGCATGAACAGCTGTTCTTGCTGCAAATCCAGACCTCTGGAGGTCTGACTGCCTCTGTCCTGCTGATTTATCCCCTGCAGGTGTACGTATGCTGCATGTAACCCTACACGGATGCAGGGTTATGTGTACCTTGTATAACCCCAGGAACAGCCATACTGATCAAACTCAATGTCTGCCTGACCCAATACACTGAGTCCTTGCAGCAGATGTCTTGGGAAGGCACAAATCCCAAGTCTGCACAGACAGACCCATCCCTCCTGCTCTGTGAGGTAGTGGTTTTCCTGTATTTGTAGGATAGTTACAGCGAGAAGCCCGATGGTTTATTTCCACTCATATCCAGAATGCAAATTGGGGTACACTCTGGCCCTACCTGTCTGGCTGGGCCCCAACCAAACTGCTGAGCGAAGGCAATGAGGCTGTCGGGTGCTGTTGTGGTCCTGGCTAGCACACCAAGCCAGCAGTGGCTGGAAGTGTGCCCTACATAGGCCAAATGGAAAAACAATGTAAGACAAAGGCCTGGCACCCCTGGAGCCAGAGAGAGGAAAAGCGAACCAGCAGAGAGCAGATAGGATCAGCAGGGCAGAGAGAGCTTCCCTTACAGAGGGTACAATTCAAACCTGTTGAAGCCATAGAAGAAAGTTTTAGACCTGATTGCAGTTGTGCTTACGGTGCCCTGCATTAAACAGCGGGGATGTAGCATCTCCTGAAAAGAATAGGGTTAATTTTCCATGCTGCCTCTGCTCCCTACAGCAATGCCAATCAGCATCGGGTGGTCTCGTGCTTTGGACAGGCTCTCAGCAGCAGCAGGAATCAGCCCAACAGCTCATTCCACACAGGCCACTGAGCAACAGCCAGTGCGAGGCCTGGGCAGGCTGTGTGCTGCAGACAAGGGTGAAAAGCTGGATTACACCCCATTAGCACTCCCCCGAGCCCTGCAGTCCCTCCAGGCTCAGAAATTTTAAAGCACTTAGCGCAGACCTGCCAAGTCTCATTTACATGGAGGGAGACTGGCTCATTCATGAGTCATTTCAAAGCATGAGGCCAAACAGATCCGCAGCACTGTTCTGACGGGGTCAGAGGGTGAAGAAAAATCCATAAGTGAAAGGCAGCAGTAGATGGACACTAGGGATGAATTTATCCCTCTTTCTGAGGTGCTGAGGCTTTGCTAGAGGTGATTTTTTGAAAACCGTGGCCTATTTTCTACCAGTTCACTCAGCCAGAAAGCCTTGCACTTGGTGGAACGTGCTGTTGAAAATTCCCACAAAACGGGACTTCTCGAGGTTTCTAGGCCAAACGTTTGATTGACTCAGTGCAGTCAACAGAGCAAAGACATGCCTTGAAGTCCTGCTGTATCTGTCTCCCCCCAAAAAAGGGAAGCTGACAGGAGTTCGGCACACTGACAAGTTTACTTGCAAGCTGGGGATCTTTTCAGTCTCTGCATAAAGCTTCGATTGCAGGGAGAGAGAGATGGATCAGCAGCGAGCGAGACTCTGGGAACCCAGAGCTGGCAGGACTTCAACACAGAGTGAGGCTGCAAAGGTGGCTGGGACCTCACTTTTAAAAGGGTCAGAATCGAGGCAAAGCTGATTTTATTTCTTTTTAAAATCAAGTGAAGGGGTTTTTTTTCCAGTGGAGCTATGCAGAAGGTCCAGATCCAACTGGTGCCCATTTATGTGAAGAACAGAGTTCAAGCTTTTTTTTATCACTATGTCACATCTTCTGCCATCTAATCTACATCACTGGAGCAAAGGCTCAGCTGCAGTGAGCTCCAGCAGGCTTTTTCTTCTAAGTTTGTTTTTATTTTTCTTTCTTTTGTCAAAATGATGTGAAATGCCAAGTTTGGACATGAAAGGAAGGAATATCTAAGTTCTGCTTTGAAGTTGGGGATTCAATTGAAGTGGGGCCTGAGATTTAAGGGGCTGCAAACCCATGTGACCTGAAACTCAAATAAATGTTTGTCTAGGCCCTGAGAGCTGAAACCAAGACATTTCACATCACCCCACTCTGGGATATGATTTACTGGCTTTCCAAAGTGAAGCCCACATGAGTACAGTGTCCTTGAAGTGACCAGCAGGACGAACTGATCAATTAAAATTGATGGATCTATCAATATTGACAGTGTCATGCCAAAGATGAGGACATCTGACTAGAATACCAGTTTTTTTTAGAGAAAGAGACAAAAATATTTGTGTGTCTTAACTTCAAAGCCTCAGCATGACCACCGGGATTATTGTGACAAAGCACACTGACATGGTCACAGACGTGACAGGTTGACAAATGAGGGCTGGTGGGTGGTGCTGTCTCTAGGAGTGTGAGAGAGGGGAGATCAGACTGAAACACAATCTGCCAACAACAAAAGAAGTCACTGAAGGGAAGTCCTGGGCATTTCAGAGGCCCAGTTTCTTACCAAAGAAATGAGAGGAGGAGGGAAACTCCTTTTGTTTGTTGGTTGCTTGTGACCTAAATACCTTGCAGCTAGATCAGCAAATCCATCTGGCTAAAAGTAAAGAAAAATAAACTTCTGTTTGTTTGCTGAGTTAACAGAGAAGACTATGCACTGCCCTGATGATCCTGAGCAGAGAAGGGGGACAGGAAAGCATCCTGTGGTGTTGGGTGAGCGTGCAATTCTGTCCATATTCAGAGCTGGCACTTAGGCAGGGGTGGGAAGTTGGCTACGTCTTTAAATTCAATACAGCTCACAGCAGCTGAGGTGAAACCTGGATTTTTCCATTAGATGGGACATGGCCAAAGAGTGCAACCGCGTGTTCTGCCCAGGGCATCCAAAAGTCCTACCCACTCTGCAATAAAGCACAGAGCTCATGATGGGGAAAGCAATGTCAGAAGGGTTTAGAGTGGGACTAACAGCACATCGATGGCCCTTCAGAAAATTCCATCAAGCCAGTTCAATTCATTTAACTAGCAGAAAAAATAATGCAATAAAGAAAAGCAGGAAAAAGAAATATTTCCCTGCCAGTTTAGGGGGCTGAACTGGCCCATGGAGGGATCTGATAGGGACCTGCCTGAAAATGCCCCCGGTGCTTTCAGCAATAGCAAGATGTTAAGACGGTTTCAGCCATTTGGAGGAACATCACCTGCACATTCTGCCCTTTCTCCAGAGATGAGGGGACAATGCACATGCCCACTCAATACTGACTCTGTCTTCTCTGTAAAGTTTTATACCAGTGTGCTCATATGGAGAGGGAAGTCTGCACAAGAAGTCTCCCCTCTGTCTCAAAGTGATCTCAAAGTGATCAAAGAAATCTCCTGCTGCTCTGGGTATGCCTAAAAATACTGATGAAAGGAATTATACAACACACACTCCTCTGGTTTCAAGGTGGCTTCTTTTGTGTACTGCGTGGCCCTTTGTGCAGCACCAGATTGAGACAGTTCCTTGTAAGGCCAGGCTGTCAGCCTCCCGCCCCTCTCCTAAAATAATATCCCTACCCCTCCTTTCGAGGAAAATACGATAGTAAAATGCAAGGGACAGCAAGAAAGATTCAGAAACAGGTGTAAATTGTGAAGCTACTTTGAACTCAGTTATTGGGAGCTGCCCTAACTTTCTGAGAGAGTTCAAGACATGGAAAACATCCAGACAGGGATGTGACCCTATCTTCTTGCAAACTTTGGCTCCTCCAATTTGGCCACACTTCAGTACAGCTTTTTCCTCAATTCTTACTCCCACAGACATGAATTCAGTATCAATTTTCTCAATCTGGCCAAAACTAGCAGATATTTTGGGTCAATTTGCCTTTTCCCAATCTCAGGTGGAAAGGGAGGACAGGAAAGGAGCCACCACCTGGATTTGACCTTGCTGAGACTGTGAGGAGTGAGAAGGACTCACCAACCACAACATGCATTTCCCACTCCAACATGCTTACCTTGCTTTGCTTCCTGTCCAGGTAGAACTGGTGTTGACTAATGGCCATAGCCCAGATAGACTTTATTAGTGCCGGACAGGCGTACCACGTGTGCACAGCGATGCCACTATGCCCAAAAGTCCTCCTGGTCACAGATGCCCTGGAGAGGAGAAAAGAATGAACTGAGGTTACACCAAGGCTGCATAGCATTTCTTTCTGTGGCAGACCCTGCCACAGATCTCCTGGTAAAAGCTGCTGTCTTTACTGTGCACGCCCTTGTGCTAATGAGAAGAATGCTTAGAAAACAGCAATAAATAGCTAATCAAGCCAGGAGAGCATTTACTTTAAGTATCTCCTCAAGACAGCAAGCTCCAGAGGACTAACAGTAAAGATGATCCAGTTTGTCCAGTTCTGACTGTACTCCTGGGTTTGGCTGAGCTGGTGCTGACTTGCTACATATGCCAGGGGTGTCACCAAGGCCAAAGCAGGTGTGAATGCTCTGTCTCATTACATGCTGAGACACCTGAGGCCAAGTCCTCACACCCTCCACTAACTCTGGCTTTGGACAGAGGTTCTCAAATATTAGGACCCACACAGCAACTAAAGATCCATAGGAACGATAGCTACTTTAGGGAATGTGGGAGAAACTTTTCAGATACCTTGTGAACAGATACAGCAGGACTTGCCAAGTGTATGGGAGAGGGGAGTTGTGAGGCTTGGAGGGGGCTGCCCAGTACCCTGGAGAGAAGAACGGTACTCAATGATTAGCTGAGTGAATTTAAAAACAGGAAAAATAAGAGCTAAATGTTTCCTCTCTGGGACTCCCAATTGTTCTCAAACATAGCAAAAAACCCACAGATTAGGTTTCCCCGTGCTTTCACAGCTGTACGGAACTGCTTGATTATTCCTCCCCATCCCTCAACTTCAACTCCACCAGCAGAGCCCCTGACACCAGCACACTGGCACATCCAGGCTCACAGCACCCTGGTCTGCAGAACTCCTCCCACTGCAGGGATAGAGAGCTGGCTGGAATAAACCACGCCACCAATCTACAGAGCCCCAAACAAATGAGGGCCTCCTCTCCAGTTTAAGAAGAGTCTTGTGGTGGAGTACAACGTGAAATGATGTGACATGGTTACAGAGGCTCGCTCAGAAACGTTACACTTGTCCCTTTTATGCAGGGATGTGGATGCTGGAAGAGGGACCAGAGTGAGAGACAGCCTGGGGAGCAGGTGTACTACAGTGGGGTTGCCACCATCAGCAGGGACCCTGTGCCATGCAGGTGTGGAGGTAGCACTGCAGGAGGGCCCAGGAGCTCCACTGTGCTGTGCAAGAGACAGATGACTCTTTTACCGGCACTTAGAAGTCCTCAAGCCTGCTAAGGCCACCTCCTGCACCTGCAGTGGCTACCTCTCCTCTGGTGCCTATGGGCTACTGCCCTGTCCAAACTTGGAGGTGAACGTGGTGAGGGGAGGCACACAGTCAAAGAAAGTTGTGACACAGTGCCAAGAGTGAAAGAAAACCAAAACTCTGCAGCAAAATGAGAACTGCTGGCAATGTTCAGCTTGGGAGAGGACTGACAGCTCTTGTGTCTCAGGGCCTTTTCAGTGCTTCAAAATGTGTTAAAGTCAAATTATGAAGGTACAAATCGGAGTGAAATTTCTGAGAAAACAGCAGTGGCCAATGCAAACAGGGTCTGAGACAACTGGGATCTCAGGTTTCAGTGTTACCCTGCGCTGAGTCCTTTCCATGCAACTGTCCCATTTAGGAGTATTATTCTCATGACAAAATTCTCCCTGGAGACAACAGGACACCGGCTGATGGTGCTAATGAGGATGGTTGCTGAGCTGCCTCATTCCTGTCACTGGACAGGGAATGAAGGCTGTGCTGGGAGACAATCTTGAAGCTGAGGCTAGAGAGAGAAAGAGATCCAACTCTGAGTGCTTTATGTTGGTTTAAGGGACACAAACCACTGTAGCACATTGGCATGCAAGGCATTAAGGCACTTGAACATGGGCTGAAGCCTTAATTCTGATGTAACCTTATTCAGTTCAAATGTAGTTACTCCAAGAACTCTTAGAAACATATTCTGCAAACCATTCCTCTTCTCGTCATAAAAGCAGTGATTTCCAATTTTTTTTCTCTTTGAGATTTGTACATGTTTCCCATCAGAACTGCAGACCCCAAAAGTCTGTAGACTTTGCTGGTCAGAGCTGTGGACTTGTTTTTCACAGCTGTCTTCTGAGGACTTGAGAGAGGTGGCCCATGGGTGTTTTTTACATGACTTCCCTCCATGCATGCTACGTGCACTATGGAATTAACCCTGCTGATCCCCCCAAAATGTATAATTTTTCTCCTTTATGGGATAAGTAACTGCAGTGAAGAGAGGTTAAATGGCTTGTTGGGGACAGGAAGCCATGGGCAGAGGCAGGGTTTAAAAACATACATTGTGCTGCCCAGCCCTGGCCACAATCACGGAGCTGCGCTCGCTCTCCTGACTGTGGCTTCGCTGACTCAGGCTCTGGTTTGGCTACACAGAGAGGAATGTGGAGAGAGCACTGTGTTGGCTACTCCTCCGCCTCCACATGCTGAACAACTCCTCGCAGGAGTCCATCCCACTTGGCCAGGAGACTACACACCGAGCTGTGTTCCCACCACGCCACTGCAACGTGCCGTGCTGCTTTACAGCCAGAGCACCAGTTCGACCTGGATGGTGGTGCTCTGAATGCAAAAACGAATCAAAAACCCAGCCACAATAATTCCCTTGTAGCGAGAAAGTACCAGGCTGACAACCTGGGACAGGGCTTTGTCCTCCCGGTGTTGATTCAGAGAAAAAACGCAATGGAATAAAAAAGCGGAAGCTCTTCTGTGTCACTAATTCCTATCATCTAAACACGAATGAAACGGAAGAGGTTCCTCTGTGTGGTCACGTTTCATGCATGACATTGAATTGCAAGTATCATCATGATTCTTAAAGTCCCTGAGCTGTTTCTTTTCTTTTCCTTGGAACTGCTCCTTGCAGGAAACAGCCATAACTCAGGGCATTTAGGGGCTCCTGGCTGCTGGTTGCTTGCAGCAAGGTTTCTGACACCTCTGGAGGCTCGGTGAGGGAAGGAGTGCACCACCCCCAGCTCCCGCTGCTGGAAGATCTCCCAGCGGATTCTCGACTTTGGGAATTCGCTCTGCTAGATTTCATGCGACTATTTATGTGCTTAATATTAAGCAGATGCTTCAAGGTTCTGCCGACCTAGAGCTGCACAATGATATGAGCTGCTCTATTCTGGTTTTGCTTTAACAAAATGCACCTCTGCAGACAGGCACCACTGTACTGGTGTGATCGTGTTCATATCAGGATAAATAAGCACAGAAACTGCATGCAAAATTCCACTAACAAAAGTACATATATTAGTACACAGATAGGCATGGGAAACAGGTGAAACAGGATCACAGCTGAGTGATCAGCAAAACACACTACTACCAGCAGCACATCAAATCAGCCTGGGAACAGAGCTGGTCTCCACCAATTGTATCATACTTACAAGTGAGACATTGCTTTTAGTGAGAAACACTTACAGATCCATATTCACACTGGTCACTGCAGTAACCATCCACTAATGCAAACACACAAGGGGTGCTGAATACTCTGATGAGATGCAGCACAGTCCCTTGAACTAACTCTCAGGTTTCTAAAGTAAGAAAAGACAAGGCTCCTGTGCCAAAAAGACAGATGGGCTTTCATCCAGGCTGCCGGTAAACCTCTGGTTCCGTGCCATTCCTTTCAGTTGCACTACTGAATATTTATTTACAAGGAAGCATGTGAGTACAAAATCTGGCGCCCAGCTCTGAGCTCCGAGTGCAACACGGGGACAAGGCAAAACCCCCTTAAACTCACAGGGGCTGCTGGAACCGCAGCTGGGGCACTGGAGCTGCACAGTCCCGGGGGTCACAAGGTGCCAAAACAGAGGGAAGGAGAAAAAAATACCGCTGGGAGCCGAGGGGAAACATATCCTCAAAAACACCCACCCGAACAAGAAATGTCCCGCTGGAAGGAAGCAGCAGCCCCCGGCTTGGCACCCGCTGTCCCTCTCTTACGGGTTCCCAAGCTCAGCGAGCCCCGGCACAGCAGCGAGGGCAGCGCGGCTCCGCAAGACCCGGCTCAAGGCTCGGCACCGCAAAGCCCGGCTCATCCCGGCTCGTCTCATCGCTCACCTGCGCGGATCGTGCACCTCCACCGAGAACTTCTTCTCGCGGAAATAGAGGTTCTCCAGCTGCCTCCATTGAAAGATCTGCGGGGAGAATGAAGGGGATGAGGCGCCTCCGCGCGATCCCTCGCCCAGCCCTGCTCGCCGCTCCCTCCCGGCGCTGCGGCGGGGCTGCCCCGCTCCGCTCCGCCCCGGCCCCGCGTCCCGCCCGCGCCCCCCGCCCCGGGCCCGCGGGGCAGCCCCGGGGGCGGGCGGTGCCCTCCGTCCCTCCCTCCCGCTGCCGGCGGCGGGATGGGAGCCGCTGGCAGGCGGGGAAGGGCGCCGGTTTCACTCTGCGGGGCCAAGTACGTTTAAACACACGCAAAGCCCGGGAAAACCCGGGATTCGCGTAGTTTTTCCTTGGAGGATGCAACGCGTGTGCATCGGCCCTCTAGCACAGCAGCTTTTCCGCGCGTGGAGGAGGTGAGACCCCGATGAGGGCGACTCACCCCACTCCACCCAAGTGCGATACCCAGCTCTACTTTTATCCCGCAATCCACGTAAGACTGGCACGAACATGAGCCCAGCGGAGTCAGTTTATCTATCCCAGGTGCTGGCAGGCTCGTGTTGGCGATGCCCAAGGCTCCAGGTGCTCCCAGCAGTGCAAAGCATGGCAATAAGCAGGTCATACCTCTGTTTTACAGGCTGCCCTGCCGAGGCATCTCAGAACAGCACCGGGACAAAGCGAACACTATCACTAGTGGGGAAACTGAGGCACGAAGCTGTTACGGGAGTAAAATGCGGCACCTCCTCGCCCCTGAGTCAATATGGGCCAGCTCTGGGGTGTCTGCGTGCTCCTGGGCAGTGGGATGTGCTCACACGGTCTCTGTGCCCCACCTCTGCTGGGAAATAACCCCCCTTTCCCTGGCAGGAGGGCGGTCTGACCACAGGAGCAGCGCGAAGGATGCGGTGACTGTGAAACACCGCGTCAGCTCTGCAAACTACCCCGCCTTCACCGCCGCGGACAGGTCCATCACCGCCTCCTCCTTACAAATGACTAAGTCAAAATCCAAACCCTGGCTTCCAGGTTGCTAATCCACTGGGAGGAGGCAGCCTCCACCCCGTGGGCATCTTGGACTTCGGCTTCCCTGCACTGCCCCTGGCAAGCAGCGGAGCATGGGGAGCGTAACCTTGCTGCTGGGGAGCACAGCCATCAAAGCTTTCCCTGATTTACGCTCCTTCTCCCACTGCAAGTAGCTTCTGTGGAGTTCCAGTCCTACCCCCAAGGAAGGCGCTGGCTCCTGCCACGCCGAGATAAGCCGGGTTGCCGGTGTCAGCGCTCTGGAGATAAGTAAACAGGAGGCGTAATTTGATTTGCACTGATTAAGCTCCTGGTGGAGATGAAATCTAGAGAATAAAACAAACCACGGAGAGGACCCAAAATTTTCTCCTCGCTAATATTTCAGGAGCAGAAAAATTGAAAATATTTGTAAAAGTTTCCAAGCAAGGTTTTCTTTTTTTTTTTTTTTTTTTTTTTTTTTTTTTTTTTTTTTTCCTTTTCTTTTCTTCCTCTAACAGGGTGTTTGGAAGGAAGGGTGCAGGAGGAGGAGGGCACTGAGCTGCCCCGTACTCTGGGGCTGTTTGCACTGCAGGGAGATAGGAGAGAAAGGGGGTCAGGAGGGATAGGAAGCCTGGAGGGCTGAGTTACAGTGCCCTTAGAGGATTATTTCATTCCTCCACTGGAAAAATTAATTGCTGCATATAAGTTGTAATCACCAAATGAAGCAGAGAAACACCCACTATTTTACCCACCGAGGGAGGACAGGCATGGGGTGAAAGGGTTAAGCCAGGAGCTGAAGTCTGACTGAAGTCTGTCTCCTTTGCAAGCTCCCGGCTTCAAAGGCACGAAAAGGAAGTTTGGGGCCTAAACTCCCACTGACAACAACTGGGGTCAAGCCTGAGACTGCCATGTGGGCTGCTGAAAACATCCATCCCTCCGTGCTTCCAGATGCCCGTCTGCAAGGCGGGGAGGATAGCGCAGCCGTGCTGCACGGCATGTGCAGAGGATGTGTTTGGGAGGCGCTCAGACATGTGGAACACATAAGAGTCTAAAAAGCCAGCAGATCACACCCTTCAGAAAATATCCCTCTGTCCCCAGGTCCCCCGTTGTCATTTATGACTAAATTTCGGCGTGGCGCAAAAGGAATTTGAAACTTCTCCGAGCTGCTGGCAGCTGCTCTACTCAGCTGCTTTCCTGCCCATCGTCCTCCTCTTCTGCCCGTCCTCCTCCCTCCAACTCAGCCGGACTGTCCCCTGTGCTCAGATCCTATTTTACCCTCTCTGCTACCAAATCTCACAGTGCTATTTGTTAAGTGAAGCTCTGTTTCTCTTTTATGATTAACTCCAACTGTCCAAACACACAGGGCTCTGGGGAAGCTGTTCAGATGCCCAAATGTAGGCATGGAGTGCCCTTTTCCATGCCCCAGGGTACCCTGCCTGGCCTCTGGCTGCTGCCCTGGGAGGGAGGGAGCCTGCCATAGGTCCGGTGCTGTATCTGCCAGCCCCACTCAGATGTCTTGGATCACCAGCAGTGCCTAAAACAGCATTAGACACCTACGTTTAGGGCATTGGAGCAGCTCCCCAGATCACTGCATTTTTATATTTAGTTTCTTTGTTTTTCTTGGCAGGGTGTGGAAGGAGGCAAATCCAGACTCTTGGGAGGGAGGGGGTGAAAGTGACCCCACAACCTGAGTTTGTGTCTTTTTTTCCATAGCTCTGCTCTCCAGAATGCACACGTGTGTTTTACCATTGCTGTAACTGCCCTCCCTTTGCTGCCCTCCCAAATATTATTCTACAGTCTCCCACTCCTTCTTCCCACATTGATCTGAGAGGTCTCCCCCTTTGTATACATAAGGGATCCAATCTGCAAGAATGTGAATACCCACAAGAAAGTATCCACTTTCCTGTTAGCCGATCACAACCCTTCCAGAGAAACAAAGCCAAAGGTCTCCCTTCAGCCAGACCTCCTAATGTAAGCAAGCTGTTCCCTTTACCAGTTACCCAGCTTATGCACAGTCTCAGATTGATGTTGTTAAAGCAGTGACAGATGCACAAGGTGCCATTAGTGGGTCTTCTTAAAAGGAAGCATAATTTTTACCCATCAAGATCCTTTTACCACACTGGTGCTTGCAACCCTCATTGGGGAATAGAGTCACAGCAGGGAGCTGGTCGTAATTTCAGCGGGATCTTGTGGAAATGCAGTGACAACAGATGCTTGCTGGCTTTGGGACTGGTTTGAGTCAGAGCATCCATGTTCATGGCAGGTTTGCCTCTCCTTGCACTGAGGCTGGGCTTGGTTTTGGGTTATTTGGTTAGTTTGCAGGGTCGAATCCAATGCCTGCATTTGTGGGTGGGACAATTCAGATTGAGGTATGGTGACTTTGCCAGGCAAAAGGTACCTGTCCCAAGCAGGGACTGGGACAGCATCTCCACAAACACGCTGGAAATGAGGCTTAGGAGAAAGTCCCTCAGTAACACAAGCTGGGAGCACAGTTCCCCTGCCCTTGAGTAGTTGCCTTCCCTGAGAGCCCGCAGACAAGGGGACAATTAGCAGTGCGTGCAGAGGGCTGAGTCTCTGTGATGTGGTGGTTTGCCTGCTGGGTTCTCTTCTGAGGTCAGCAGCTCATTTTGGATCATGCAGCACTGGGCAGCTTTCAGATGGGAACAGTTTTTGGTAGAGGCCATCATTACAGGCTGCATATGAGATCATTTAATCTTCAATAGATACTTAAGGAAGTCTCCACAAGGCTGGCTTTTGAGCACAGCTGCACACTCACACATGCACGTGAAAGGAGCTACTAAAAGAGGAGAAAATAATTACTCCTGTTTCTTCCTCCTCTGAGGGGACTGTCCCCACCGTGGGCTCTGTTTCATCGTGCCAATAAAACCGGGACCAACACTATCACCCGAATTTTTAAAACTGCTTATCAACCCACAAACATTCAAGGGAATAACTGTTCTCTGTCAGACCACGTGCACTATTTAAAATGCATTGTAGTGGGTGGGAAGGCCATGGTGGGGAAATCAGTGCCAGAAATGGCTTCTGCAAAGCTGGCAGCTTAGAAGAGGAGCCATGGGAGAGATCTGAGTACTGCACGGTGCGCTGCGGAGAATTCAGGTGCAGGCTACAGGAATTTTCTCATTGGAAACCCTTTCCAAGAGGCAGGCAAGCTTGCCAGGCACCAGATGTTTGTGACTAGTTACAAAGAGCTGCAGTCAAAGCCTTTTAGATGCAAGCTTCTTTTGTGAGCACACTTGTGGTTTGCTGGCTGCTCCCTAATTAAGCTGAGCCTGGAGGAGAGGAGGCCCAGGGATCTGCATCCATTTCAGCCATGTGAGTCAGGAGAAGGTTTTTTACCATTTTTATTGACCATGAGGCGGGTGCCGTGGAGTTTGCACACAGCAGGAGGTAGGGACAGTGTCAGAGTATTTGAAAAATGCCTGAGGCTCCTGATAAAGAAGGGAGCGTATTTTGTGAATGAAACATCAGGGATTGCTTCTGGCTGGGTCACTCATGGCCTGGGTGTGGGGGGCTGAGTTACTGCCAGGCACTAGGCCATGCTCTGTCCCTTTGTGCTCAGGGAGCCTGGCCTGAGCATCCAGTGGAAGGACCATGCCATAGCCTTGGGAATCCCTGGCAGTAACGAGGCTGTTGTTGGCAACACATGGCTCCTGTGTTGCCCTGCAGCTCAGGACAGAGAGGGTTGCTGTTGAAGGGCAGCACTGGTGGTTGGCGCACAGTGCTCTCTGAATTATGGTACCTAAAAAACATGCCCAACTAGTACCTTTTGGAGTAATTCCAAATCCTGGGTTTGGGGTACTGGCTCCCTGATACTGTTTGTTGCCTCCTGTGCCCAGAAGAGCTGGACTTGCACTGAACTGGGGAGAGTGAGACTGGGCGAGTGCACTGTGGGGACACGATGTGAATAATTTTTGCGTTTTATCTATTAAGAACCAAATATAAATGTGCAGGAGTCTCCTTTTCTTTCCTTTTTCTGTGTGCTGAAGCACCTGAGCTGTGGCACAGGCTGAATGGGTCACCCAGT